AAAGGGGGAAGGAGGCAGGGAGGGAGGGAATGGTGGAGGGGAGAGGGAGTGTGGCTGGGACCTCGGCCATCGTCGTCCCGCGTTGGCATCCCATCGTTGTGTCGCATTTCGTTGTCGCCTCCTCGTCGCGTGTTCGCGTTTTCGTTGTGTGTCCGCGTTGTTGCGTTATTCTTGACGTTGTCGTCGCCATCGTCGTGGGCGCTGGTTGCCGTTGGGGGCGTCGTTGTGGGTGGCGTTGGTGTGGACGTGGTGGTTTTGGTAGGCGGCGTGGTGCCATCGTATGTCGTGTGGGCGGTGCATGTTTTTCGGTGGGCGGCGCGTGTTTTTCGGTGGGCGCTCATGTTTTTCGGTGGGTGGTGGGATGTTTTCGTGGGCGGGGTATGGTTTTCGTGGGCGCTGGCGGTGTACATGGGCGGTGAGCGTCGTTTTGTGCCCGTTGGGTGTCGTTTTGTGTCTGGGGGCGTTGTTTTCGTGGGCGTTGGGTGTTTTCGTGGGTTACAGCACTCGTTGTTTCGTGACGTGGCGTCGCCACGTTGTTGTTGAAGGGTGTTGTGGTTGATGTTGGTGGTCGTGGTGGCCATGGGTGATCGAGGAGCGATGTTGGCGGTGGTGGCTATGGGTGACGGTGATGGCGTGGCGTTGGCGGCGGTGACGAGCATGGTGGTTGTGGTGGAAGAAGAGAGTGGCCATGTTTGGTGAGCATGTTCACCAAACAAACATTGTTTGTGATCCATTGAAAATAAATAAACTATAATACAGTAATAAATAAATGAAATAAACAGATTGGACTGGAATCCCATTCCTGCCCACTCCGGGGAACACCATTCCTGCCCATTCCGGGGAAGACCATTCCAGGGAACATTCCGGTGTACATTCCGGAATCCACCGGAATTCCACCGGAATGGAAAACACCGGAATAAACAATTTAGCAGGGCCTTCTGCTAAATTCCATTCCACCGGAATGACCGGATTCCTGCAGGAATAGGGGGGGCACTGCTAAGACCTCACTTATGCACAGGGAGGTGTAGGCAGTTACCTTATTTATATGAATTTGAGTCTGTTGGAGGAAGGGTGCAATATTTGCATCCATAAGGGCTTCACCCTTGTCCAAGATAGCTTTTGCTGAGTGATAGTTCAGTACACCTTTGGACCATTTGAAGGCCGTCTTGTAGTGGTTATATTTCAAATAAGGTGACACCTCCATCACCACCTGTTTGGCCTCCCACATAACATCCTCCTTTCAACCTGTCAGAACATGTGGTTATGAGAAGAGAAAAGAAATAGCACCTTGGAATGAAAGTTACTTCAGATTTTCTTTTCCATTATCTGTATTGGGCTACTTTCACCCTTGGCTCTCTGGATCATTAACACAGGCTTTTCCCCCAGATGCTGGTCTTTGTTCACCATCTCCCTTGATTCTCTCTCTAAGTCTATCAAAGCTTGAACTTCAGGTGATTCAGTTCTAGAGGAAAAAGTTGACTGGCTGGGAAGGTGTGATGGAAGGAGAACTTACATGAATGGCAAGTAATCCAAGAGACTTGCTCCTGCAACATCTTGCTGAAGAGCTTGCTTGAGCCTAGCAACAACACCTCTTGTTGAAAGATCCTCCATGACATAGTTGGGTAAACTCCACCTCCATGATGTTTCCAGAGCAGCCTTGGCATCCCCATACTGGTCTGCATCACCAGGGTTATAATAATCATCATCGTCACCATCACTCAGCACACAACCAGGCTCATCAGATACAATGATCCATGTCTTGATATGAGGCACAGAGTTCTTCTTGCTTTTATAGGTAGGTTTATAATTCCTAGGCCTCCCAGGTCCATTTTGATGCCTCTAGAAAAAAAAATTCAAGAAGGGGTAAATACTACAAATATACCATATGTTGTAGAAACCAAGATCAATGTACCTTAGCAGGATGACCTCCATTGTGATCAACAGTTGGTTCCAAAATCTGATTCAGAACAAGTTCACAGAACTGATCAGAGCCAACCATTGTTTTATAATTAGGTTTAGTGAGGTCAGTTTGTATAGCTAATGTGGTCTGAAGAATGGAATCAGTGCTGTTGAAAAGAAAATAAAAATTGTTGACATATGTGATGTAGATGGTGCCATCTATTTCTGAGGTACTTTCAGATGGTAAATGCTTTGAGAGGGCAGCCAATGAAATAAACATTGACTGCTAGGCTCTTGTCTGCAGAAAGCATTTTGTGAGAGATGAATTATGAGTTGCTGAGATATCTTACTGATATTGTGAGGGTGTATCAGGCCACATGAAGCACCACTTCTCAAGAATTTCTTCAGATCTTCTGAATCATAAGATTGGCCTGTATAGAAGTGAAACAATTAACTTTTGACATGGCATTAGAAGGAACAGCTCACCAATGGCATGTCTTTGATCTAGAAGGCTCTCCCTTAAAACTTGAGGTATAGTTCTTTAGGAACCTCCACACTGGAAGACATGAAGATGTCAACAAAAGATTGCATGTACTTTCGATTGGAGTTCTCATTGAACTCAAATGGGTTTTCCTGGTCCAGGCCGCAGCTTGCTGCCATTGGCTTTTAGTATTCACATTGGACAAACCAGTCAAGGTACCCTGGAATACCTGTCAAAAGATCAGAAAACTTTGTCTCGTCTTCACAAATATGAAAGGATGTATAGTGAGGTAATAGCAGACATCATTTGCGAGATGGCACCCTAGTCTGGTGAAGGCTGCACCTGAGTTGACGTAGATCTCCCTGATCATGGGACACAGACCTCGCAGAGTGTAGTGTTGAGATCTGAGTCCACTTCTGCCAAATTCTGGATCCGGTGAGCTTCAGGGGTGTGTTGGTGCTGGGATCACCTCCATCTTGAAATATATTAAGTGTTCAATTCACATTAAAAGACTTTTTATACTGGTCTATGTCCTCCAGCTCATCCAGTACTGATCATGTTCTTTTATCACACTGTTTCTCCAGCACTTGAACAGGAAATTTCAATGATTGTATGTTTAGTGACAAGATTGAAACTATTCATACCTCAGTCCCAACTTTGAAGTCCTCCTGGGTCCAGAGCCTGTTCCTGCTCTTGACATGCATGTGAGCAAAGCCACAAAAGTCACAGAGGACAAAAACAGACTTCTGGGACACAAATGCTGCCAAAATGCGGATTGTCCCAGGCTGGGTTTCCAATGAGTTTTTGACAATTAATCTGTTGGGAATGAGAAAAGTTCTCATTTTTTAGGCCTTTTTCTTGTCCTTGTTTGGACCTGAGCAATCGTTTGTGATAATCTCCCAAAGTATATCAGAAGTCATAGTGCAGAGGTGAGCTCTTCAAGGCCATAACTGATGACCATTGCATGCTACATGTGAAATTTCAATTGTTCAGTTTCAGGGATTGGGGATGAAAACAAAACTTACATGTCCACATGAAACAATGAGCACCTGTCCTCTGCGGACACAATTTAGTTTTCCTGGTGGAGTGTCTTCCAATAGATAATCCCAATTCTCATTAACTGCCCTGTCCCAAGGTCTTTACCATCCCCCACGTAATCCATGTGGAGTCCAGTGGAGTCCAGTGGATTCCAGTGGCCCAGTTGCTAGGCCAGATTGGCTTGCACAATGCCCAGTCCACTGGACTCAAGTCCAGTCCAGTCCAGTCCAGTCCACTGGATTCCACTGGACTGCAGTGGAATCCAGCAGTCCAGAGTCCAGTCCATCATTACTTATGGATATCAATTACTACCAAAAAAGCGAAATTAGACTATACAAATGTAATGAGTTATATAGAACTATACACAAGTACTCGTCGTAACAACGATCAATGATTTTGTTCAGTCTGCGGGGTGTGGCACGTGATGTACCTGTGGTGTTCAAACATTGCCATACTGTCATGTTTGCCTTCTGCGGCATCGTCACATCTGCGTGACCATCTCTTTCCCTTCCACCACCACCACCACCACCCCTCGCCAACGTCCTGCACCCACCACCACTCTTGGCCATCGCCACCGCTCTCAGCCACGTCACCGAAGCAACACGCTGAACGAAACGAACGAGGAAATGAGGGACTACGCCCAGTCATGGGTGTCGGTGCCATGTTGCTATCGGTGACGTGGCAACCCAACTCCACCTGATCCACTCACCCACAGATGTCGACACGGCGCAACAACACAACAACGCAACCCGGCGACGACACATCGACAACGACCACGACAGGTGCTAGCAACCCCATGACGACGGCACCACGACCCTACACAACACGCGCAACGGCAACCCACGACGAGCACCCACCCACCCCCACACACGAACGACGACGAGCACCCACGAAAAACGACGAGCGCCCACCACCATGACCCACCACCGCCCACCGCCCACTGACACAACGATGACGTGTCAACGACATGCCAGGACGATGACACGACACGCCAGGACGACAACGCGACACGACACGTCCACATGAGCACACACCCCCATCACACACGAAAAACAACGTGCACCCACGAAAAACAACGAGCCCCCACCTGAAACACGACACGCGCCCACAAAAAACCACCAGCGCCGACGGCACGCCAACGCGGAACGGCGACGAGGGCCCAGCACCACCACCTCTCCCCTCCACTCTCTCCCCCCTTCACTCTCTCCCCCCTTCACTCCTTCCTCCCTCCAACACTCCCTCCCCCTTTCCCCCCCCCTTCCTTGCTCCCTCCCCCCTCCATTCCTCTCTTTCCCCTTTCTTTCCCTCCCCCTTTTCTTTCCCTCTTCTCCCTCCCCCTCTCTGTAACATAGAATGTAGTAAAAGTAATGTATTTAATTAATAAATATACTTCAATTTTCTTTTGAAATCTAAGTTCAGTCCAGTCCAGTCCAGTTTTGTCTTGGGAGAGTCCAGTTTTGTGATTGGCAGTCCAGTCCAGTCCAGTCCAGTCTAGTCCAGTTTTGTGTTGGGAGAGTCCAGTGGAGTCCAGTTTTGTGATTGGCAGTCCAGTCCAGTCCAGTGGAAGCCAGTGGAAGCCAGTGGAATCCAGTGGAGTCCATGTGGATTATGTGGGGGATGGTAAAGTATTGCCTGTCCCTCCAAGTTTTAGAGGGACAAGACCCATAGTGTTTCCTTTGAGCTGAGACCCAAGTAGGGAGAGGGAGTGCTGCCTTTGTTAGTATAGAGCTATAACTACGTTTTTTGGATCCAATGGAAAATGTGAGGGGTGAAATCAGCAGGTAGACTAGTATTTGTGTTATTGTTAGGTCAATGTTCAGCTAGATATATAGACATACAGAGATGCTTGTTGAATCTTTTTCTGTTCAAAAGCCATTCCCAGACAAGAACTTCTGGAATCTCAGGCATCAAAGAGGTGACAGGTCAGCTTCAAGGCAAGGCTGTAAAGCAAGACTAAGAAAAGTGAAAGAGAAGAAATGAAAAGTGAAAGGGAAGAAGCCAAATTGAAGAAAACACACTGTGGGTGCAACATAGCCACAGCCTCATGTTCAACACCTTTTGCTGGAAGGCTGAGGAAAGAAATTAGTGGACCACAAAAGATTTAAGAGGATGGTGAGAGTTAAGGTGGAAGGATAATCCTTTTTATCTTCAATGCCATGACATCTGCAGTCTCAGGTCTCAAGCCCTTCCAGTTCATCCAAGTCCCACTTCACAGCCTTAGTCTTAGACCACAAAACGTTCAGAGTGTGGGTGTGTTACTTCAAGGGAAGGTGGGGGGTATGTTGAGTGATCAGGTTTATAATTGATGGAAATTATATTTGATTGATGTCACAATTCAGAATGGCAAATTGATGTCAATGCGTGAGGTCAAAGTGACATCCACCTCCACTACATCAACTATGCTGCTGCCACACCTCAATCCAACCAGTGGCCTGATGTCTTACTTGTGCTGGCCTTTTGCTTGGTTCAGCTTTCCACAGAGTTGTGGCCTTGACCTTGTTAGGATGCTCTAAAAAGGCCTCTGCAAAGTTATGAAATCTATGCCATGCCTGACACATCCAATCGTCACTTGCCAGTGTCAAACTAGCACCAGTCATATAACTTTTGTTATTCACCCTTCTTCCAGCCCCATTGTAAGCTCATTTATAACAGCTCTCTAACTCATATGATCACTGACTATGCAATATCAGACATTGAACCTCAACTTAAGTTTAACCTGTGCATCAATGCACCACAATGTTCATCTGTGAATCATGTGGGGATAGATGCCAGATCTGCAATGTTAACTCATGGGCAATTCTATGTCACAATTTTGCAAGTTACTTCTGTTCATAACATCAAGATAATATGGGATGATCAACTTCCAAATCCTGTAACAAAAAATATTGTATATCCTGAAGTACTTTTGTACAACTGCTGTAAATATGGAATAAAAATATGTACCAGAACTGGGATGAAACATGAGTACCAAAACTGGGATTAAACATGCATACCAGGGGGTGCAGGGGGCATGCCCCCAGCAAGCTGTGACCAACCACTGGAGGCATGGCTGAGTGTTAGTGAGTGCCGTGCCATAGGTGAAGCATTCACAATGATGGAGGAATTGTCTTGGTGTTTGCTGGGAGGTTGTGACAATTTTTCAAAGCATCTAAAAATAGAAGAATAACAACAGGGATGATTTTATTAACAGAAAGTTGAATAGCTTATTCTCACATTTTGAACAAGACACAGCCAGAGGCAGGGACATGGGGAAGTATAACAGCTACATGGCTATTTTTTACTGAAAGCTAATAACAATTGAGGTAGTAATTACAATGAGCACAAATAAGGCAGTTTTATTAGCAAAAAGTTGAATTCCTGCTTTTCATATTTTGAAATGGACACACCCAGAGTAAGGGACATGCAGAGTGTCATAAAGTGGAGGACAGAGGCAAGGAGGTAACCATATAAGGAGATTATTTGTCAGCTTATCTCCTTATAAAGTAGAATGGTCCTAGTGGAGGAAAAGAATCTTACTATGCCTTACCAAATAAGGCAAATTTCCTTTTTTATCCATATTCAGGACATGGCACATCCCTACCATTGTGAAGAACATCTTGGATCAATTTTTTGTTTTTTGTTTATCAAACAAACTTACAGCCCCAAAGATTTGTGAGGGCATCCTGGAGGAAATCCTATTACCTCCCTCTCCATCTCACCTGGTGACTTATGTTTTAATTGAACTCTTGTCTTTTTTTTTTCATGGCCAGATGGTAGTCTCATCAAACACATAAAGTTGAGCAATACTAGATGAGCTTGATTGTAAAATATGCACATATGTATCATTGAATTTTGAGTTTTCATCATAGAACACATAAGTTGCTTGTGTACCACTGTACCTTTGCTGTACACTTCTGCCATTTGTACTACCGAAATTGAAGTATTATTGTCACCTCTGAACCCTGATACTTTCGCACAAGGTGGAGCTCCACTTCCACAGTTCTGGTCACAACTCTCTTCATAAAGTACATCATATTTACAAGCATCCAAGTACCATGTTAGGCTCATGACCAGCCATTTCTTCAAACTCCACAAGCTACATTCAAGAAACAGCTGGGGCAAACGAACACCCTTTGGCAGGGTCATGCTTTTGTGATGCTGAAATTTCGGTACAATTACAACAACAGCACAACTTAACTCCCACTCACCACCTTCCTCTGAGTCTTCATCACTGTCAGAGGATTCTTCACTGTAACATCCAATCCTCTCAATCTTGTTTGGTTCTTCAGACCTTCCTCAGGCTCTCTTTCAACACTCTCATCAACATGCCTTGGCCGTCATCTTCAACTGAGGTCACTGCTGGATATCCAAGGGGTGGACTTGGATTAGTTGGGGGGTTGGAAGTTGCTGGAACTCCCAGTTCAGGGAACCACCATTTCTGCTCAGGGACAGGTGCCATTTCTTAAAGTTGAATGCACAGCTGAAGATGTACCTCGGAATGGTGCATCATTTCTTTCTTCCCCAATTATTATTTCAAGAAAAGCGATGGGTGCAAAACACCATGGACAGGGTGCTCGAGTGGGTGGGTGTTGGGCACAAAACAATGGGGGGTGGGCACTATTAGTAAAACAGATGGGAAAGGGGAAGGAAAACGGACTTGGAGTCCATCACCATTCCATATGGAATCCATAATGTCTATGGAATAAGAAACTGGCTGGGTCCTCAGCCAACATTGATTTCATGGATCTCATATGGAATAACCCGGGGAAGGTAAAGACCTCATTGTGAGCTGGGGCATGTCAAGGTCAACATCCAGGACTGGTGATGATGGTAGAGGAGGAGAGGACAGAGGAGGGGAAGATGATGGAATGGTGGAAGATGCAGGACTCATAAATGAGAACTTGCGCTTCTGGAGAATGCAACTGATACTCCCTAAAGCCTTCTCCAACCCAGCACACTGTTGAGGTGTCATTTTTCCTTTTCTTTTCCCTGGTTGGTCGATTCCTGCCTTTTTCTTGAAGGGCCTTACCAGGGCTTTTCAAAGATCTGTTTCTTTGAGTGCTGGATCAATGCCATGAATGACAGAAACACTGGAATAGTTCATCAGATGAAGTGCATATCAAGTAGATGATGAATAAACACACCGCTTCATCCCAGTGGTGGTCTGACATATGCAACCATTACCACAGTACTCAAGCAGGCCAATTGAAACACCCACCGAGTTCTTGACAATGTGTTCGAAGAGCATTGCTTGACTTTCTGGTCCTTGGATCTCTCTAATAAGATTTTAGTTGACATGAAAAATCACACTTTTGATGGTGTGACAGCCTGAACAAAACAGCTGAGTATTGAAGTCGCTTGGCCACAGACCACCAGTGCTCTTAAAATTAGTATCAGTAGAAGCAAAATTGCTTCTAGATTACGATTCCAGCTTGTTTGAGCATTCAAGTAGTGCTTGAAAGTCTGGTCCAGTCCAGTCTTTAGGCTTTTTTTGGCAAGACTGAGACCGAGACCAGTCCTTGTATTTTGAAAAGCCTCAAAAAAATGGACCGAACTGATAGAAACTGGTTCAGGGCAGTCTTCTGCGGTTTTTTGCAGTTTCAAGACCGGTCTGAACCAGTTGTGGTTCAGACCAGTTTCAACCTCATGCATGAAATCACACAAAAATTTGTACATTGAGCTGGATATATATTACACTTATCATGAAATAAAAAGGATAATTGCCAGGTTCCTATGTGCGCACAAACTCAGTAAGGGATAGGTCTGTGTTTCCATCTCTCCCCACACTCATGTCACACTCATGTCCCCGAGTGTCAGAGGTGGCCATGGTTGTTTTGGTGCTTTCGGTTTCTTGAGAGCATTGGTGTTCTTTGTGTCATCCATAGCGTTATCCCTGTAAATGTTCAGTTGTGAAACCAAAAATTCGAGTCTTTAAGAGACTTACATTGTATAGCTGTGTTATAGCTTAAAGTTTTGAATAGAATGTGTTGGACAATACTTTACCATCACCCACATAATCCACATGGACTCCACTGGACTCCACTGGGAGGGAAGAGAAGAATGGAGGGGGGAGGGAGCAAGGAAGGGGGGAGGGGGAAAGGGGGGACAGAGTGGAGGGCAGAGGGAGTGATGAAGAGAGGAGGTAGTGATAGGGGGAGATTGTGGAGGGGAGGGGTGGTGCTGCTGGGCCATTGTCGCCGTTCCACGTTGGCATTGGCAGTGGTGGGCACTTGTCATTTTTCGGGTGTGGTGGGGCTGGGTGCTCATTCGTCATGCTTGCGTGTTGTCGTTGTCATGTGTCATCCTCCTCGCATGTCATCATTGTCATTGTGTTGTCATGTGTTGTCCTCCTCGCATGTTGTCGTTGTTCTCATGTGTCGTTGTTCTCATGTGTCGTTGTTCTCATGTGTCGTTGTTCTCATGTGTCGTTGTCCTTGTTGTGTGTCGTCATCATTGTCGCATGCTGCTGGCACCTGTCGTGGTGAGAATGGGGCATTGGGGTGGTGGGGCATATGTACCCTTGGCCCATGACCCTGCCACATCATGGGTGCCCTCATTCTTGGCCTGCCATTCCATGTTGGCGTGGGCGTGGGCGTCGTTGGCGTTGGCATGGGCATGGGTGTCATTGGCATGGGTGTTGTTGGCATGGGCATGGGTGTTGTTGGCGGCATTGGTGTGGGTGGTGATAGAGGCAGTGGTGAAGGGTGGTGGTGGTGGTGGAAGAGAAAGGGATGGTCATGGAAGTGTGACCATGCCGCAAACAGGAGACATGACAATATGGCACACCCTCAAGTAAGTCATGTGACCTCACCCTGCAGACTGAACAAAATCAGGAATCCTTATTGCAGCTATCACTTACCTATACTAATATGTAACTCATTAACCTTCTATTCATTAATCAATAGAATTACAAGTCTGGATAGTCTATTTTGCTTCTTTTGTGGTATTCATACTTAAAAATAATAAGTAATAAGCAATAATGCACTGGACTCCAGTGGAATCCAGTGGACTATGACTGGACTCATAGTCCACTGGACTGGGACTGGACTCAGGAAAGTGGCTTATAGTCCAGTGAGAGTCCAGTGGACTGGACTGGACTTGCGGCTGTGGACTGGGCATTGTGCGAGCCAATTTGGCCTAGCAAGTGGGCCACTGAAATCCACTGGAATCCACATGGATTATGTGGGGGAGGGTAAAGACCTCTGTGTTGGATGGGAGTTTAAATGTTGCTCATATACTCACATGCATGTGCCACCACATCAAGGTTTCAACAAATCACATTGTTCGCCAGAGTCTGTGAACATTACCACTTGTATTGTTATTTTTTTTCATAGGATAGATACACATTGAGCACCATCCTTTTCATTCATGTTGCACGAGAAACCACCTGAGCCAAGCAAATACATGTTTTGTTCTGCCTTGTCACTGACTGGAATGAACAATTAAAGGTGACTCAAAGTTCAAGTTCCCCTTCAAGTTGAATGTTTTTTGTCTTGCTGGTTGGGATGATACACATTCTTACTCTTCATATTATATCCAAACGGAACAAATACATGTCTTGTTCTAGTCAACGAACAATTTGATTTGTTGTTCTCCCTGAACACTAAGTATAAATAACTCATTGTTGATTAGGTACACGTCCTTGTTCTTTACATTATGCCCAAGCGAAGCAAATACAAATCTTGTTCTGGCTTATTCTTCAATCCGTTAGGAACCAGTCATACACTCAGTTGATTCTTAGAAGTAGAACTCAATCCCCACTGGCATATTGGAAGAGCAGAAAGTGAGTGAATATGCTTGGCACAACAAAAATGACCGGGTATGGACAGCCTTTTGTAAAATAAGTATAACAAGGCAGAAACATGCCCGAAATATCACAACAAAAATTTCTGTACTCATCTGGTTTATTTGGAGGTCTTATCAGTGCCCCCCACTAGTGGCTACCACTATTTATGATTAATCTATGACAACTGTCCAAGAGCCATTCTGTATAATGCCACAGGTTTTATGAAAGGCATCTCATTAGGATTGCCCATCTATTTCATTCAATTTGTCACTGGAATCTTTCATAAGTTATAGGCAAGGATAATGAGATATCATGGGGATATTTCATTAGGTTCTTTGGCCCTTTCATTATCATTTCTGAGACTTTTCATTAGGATATTTCATTAGGCTGCTTCGCTTTTTCATTACCATTTCATAGAATTTTCATTAGGATATTTCATTAGGCTCCTTGGCACTTTCATTACCATTTCTTAGAATTTTCATTAGGATATTTCATTAGGCTCCTGCCCTTTTTCATTGTCATTTCTTAGAAATCTCATTAGGATATTTCATTAGGCTCCTGCGCTTTTTCATTATCATTTCTTAGAATTTTCATTAGGATATTTCATTCCTGCGCTTTTTCATTACCATTTCATAGAATTCTCATTAGGATATTTCATTAGGCTCCTGCGCTTTTTCATTACGATTTTTTATATTTCTCATTAGGATATTTCATTAGGCTCCTTGGCACTTTCATTAGATTTTCTTGGAATTTTCATTGGGATATTTCATTCAGCTCCTTGACCCTTTCATTACCATTTCATTGAATTTTCATTAGAATGCTTCTTGGCACTTTCATTAGGATATTTCATTACACTCCTTGACTATTTCATTAGATTTTTCATTGGGAGATTTCATTGGGGCATCTGGCCCTTTCATTACCATTTCTTTTAGGATATTTCATTGAGCACCTTGACGATTTCATCACTTCTCATTAGGCTCCCTGGCACTTTCATTACTATTTCTTAGATTTTTCATTAGGATATTTCATTAGGCCCTTTGGCACTTTCATTACCGAAAACTATATAATAATGATGATATGTATCACATGGGTTGTTGGGAGGGTGGTCACATGACCAATTACCAAAAATAGTCAAAAAGCGAAAGTTGTACCCCTGCACTGTAGCTTCCCGAATCTGGTTGAATTATGTTCTGAAGTGCTCCTGTTGTGGAGATATGAGGTAAAGGAATTCCAAAAGCGTCGTGTTTTTTTTTGGTTTTCTGCATTTTTCTTCATGAAAACAAAACCAAATAACATGATTCCAACACATTTAGAAAGCTAGATGAAAGGGCAACAAATATCATATCGTGGGAAAATTGACCAAAAAAGGAAGGTGCATTCCCTAAAAGAGCAATCAACACTGACAGACTACAAGAGTCAGATATAGACTACCAAGTTTACTGATAGACTACAAAAAAGTTGGACATAGGCTACAAAGTTTACTGATAGACTACAAAAGTCAGACTTAGACTACAAAAGCTTGGACTTAGACTACAAAATTAGGGTTACATTAAAAGGTTTTGTAGTGTCCGCTTTTTCATTAGAAAAGTTTATAGTGTCCGCTTTTTTAGACTACAAAAGTTTGTAATGTGTGCCTTTTCATTAGAAAAGTTTGTAGTGTCCGCTTTTCAGACTACAAAAGTTTGTAGTCCGCTTTTTCATTAGAAAAGTTTGTAGTGTCTGCTTTTTGAGGCTACAAAAGTTTGTAGTTGACATATAGTTTATAGTGTCCTTGACTCTGTATAGGTTATGGGGATGAGGTTAAAGGATTGACATGATTTTACATATTGCCATTGCTGCAGCATTTACTTTTGACATCATGTACAAATTGTCTTTCACATCAAGAAAGGCTATTCTATGCCTTCATATTGATAGCTACTGTCCTATCTCAAACCATACTTGTAGGTTTATGGGGAACTGGCTAAAGGATTCACATGACTTTACATATTGATTGCTATTGCCACATCATCAGCTTTTCACATCATGCCCAAGTTGGCTTTCAAGCCAGAAAAAGCCACTCATAGTAATATCTACTGTTCTGTCTCAATACATTGTTAACTTACATCATGACCTGACTTAAGGATACTTCCAGGGACCAATCAGCTCATCCTATTGCCTTGAAAGAGCTGATATCACAGTTGACTAGGTTTGGGACAGGCAAGTAGCTATCAATGTGAAAGCAGACAGACCAGCAACTATCAATGTGAAATCAGAGAATAGCCTGTCCTGATGTGAAAGGCAACTCGGGTATGATGTCAAAAACTAATCATTTGGCAGTAGTAATATGTAAAGCAATTTAATCCTTCAAACCATATCCACATGGACCTAGAACCATGATTTGAGATAGGACAGTAGCTATCAATATGAAGGCATAGAATAGCCTTTCTTGATGTGAAAGACAATTTGTACATGATGTCAAAAGTAAATGCTGCAGCAATGGCAATATGTAAAATCATGTCAATCCTTTAACCTCATCCCCATAACCTATACAGAGTCAAGGACACTATAAACTATATGTCAACTACAAACTTTTGTAGCCTCAAAAAGCAGACACTACAAACTTTTCTAATGAAAAAGCGGACTACAAACTTTTGTAGTCTGAAAAGCGGACACTACAAACTTTTCTAATGAAAAGGCACACATTACAAACTTTTGTAGTCTAAAAAAGCGGACACTATAAACTTTTCTAATGAAAAAGCGGACACTACAAAACCTTTTAATGTAACCCTAATTTTGTAGTCTAAGTCCAAGCTTTTGTAGTCTAAGTCTGACTTTTGTAGTCTATCAGTAAACTTTGTAGCCTATGTCCAACTTTTTTGTAGTCTATCAGTAAACTTGGTAGTCTATATCTGACTCTTGTAGTCTGTCAGTGTTGATTGCTCTTTTAGGGAATGCACCTTCCTTTTTTGGTCAATTTTCCCACGATATGATATTTGTTGCCCTTTCATCTAGCTTTCTAAATGTGTTGGAATCATGTTATTTGGTTTTGTATGAGGGTGCATGGTATGGTATGAGGGTACATGGTATGGTATGAGGGTGCATGGTATGGTATGAGGGTACATGGTATGGTATGGAAGTGCAATACCATGGTATGGTATGAGGGTGCATGGTATGGTATGAGGGTGCAGTACCATGGTATGGGAGTGCAGTACCATGGTATAGAAGTGCAATACCATGGTATGGTATGAGGGTGTAATACCATGGTATGGTATAGTATGGGAGTGCAATACCATGGTATGGTATGGTATGGTATGGTATGAGAGTGCAACATGGGATTACAATACCATGGTATGATATTTTGATAATGAAGACTCTAAGGACAACAAGACTTGATTCCATTTCCAATTAGCAAGACTTTGGATTGGACAGATTCACTCAGCTTCAATAAATTGGACCAAATATTATGACAAAGAAGACTTTGGCCAAACACTCAGGACAACAATACCTGATTCCTTCATATGTAGTTTTTAAGAAAATTGAGATTATATGGTGTTGTTGGCCATACTATATATATATGCTATGTAAGTAGGTAGGACTGTCTGATTGGCCTTACTGGGCAAAACATATTTAACCTATTATTGAAAGGATTTGTATTAATGGCTTTTTAGAAATGAAAAAACCCTCAATTGAACTGATTTCCAAAGGTTGGAGTTGACTATCTAGCCTCCACTTGGAGTTGGAAATCTTAGAAAAAACCTGAAGAACCTTTCCACTTTTCTTTGCTTCTCAATGACCACTTCATCCCAATAGATGTGGCATTGTTTGATTTGGATGAATATTTGTTCAAATAGAAAGGACTGGGAAAGATATGTATCATTAAATGGCTTTGGATGCATGAGAAAGCTGGGATAAAGCCTATTTAAACTCATTTTCAATAGATGGTTTGGACTATCTAGCCTCAATTTGTAGCTCAATATCTCAAGAAAAACATGGAGAACCACCCCACAAAAAATGGTACCCAATGGACCAGTATTGCAGCCTGCAGAAATTATTTATTTATTTTGGAAAAGGACCCCAGACACCCAGTGACAGCTTTGGTATGATGGTATGAAGTGGTATCATACCATCTGGTATGGTATAACATGACATGGTATGGTATGGTAACTTGGTATTGGTATGAGTGGGATATGGTATGAGTTTTCCATTCCATGGTACCATGGTATTGGTATGGTGCTCACATACCACTCTGGAATGGGTACCATTGAGGTACCCTTAAATCAAAGAATTCATATACCTCATAGGTACCCTAAAATGGGTGACTGAAGTGAACCGAATTACATCTCATAAAGACTTGGGCAAAATGTAATGTGGCAACTGTAAATTATTTGATGCATACTATTTGATAGATGGTGAGTATATTTTCATACTTAAAATGTCAATATCCGAAAATTGAATCAAGCAAAATGATGAAAGTTTGAGTGAGTTAGAATTAAAGCCATTCTGGTACAAGTTGCACAAACAAGTATTTGTGCCAAAATGAATTTGGTTATATATTTCTCAGTTCTTAACCGTTTTTGATGAAACAAAAACCCAATTAAAGGTAATGAACGTGGTTACAAGGGTATGTAACGCACGTGACCGTTTAAATGGTCGCAACCGATTTAAACCGGTCTTTGAATGGTTTTAAAAGATTTTTGAAATGAGGCAACCAGCAACCGGACCAACCCCAAATTGGGGCAACTGCAACCGAAAAAAAGACCGGTCCATGGTCCGGTTCAGTCCGGTCCACCGGTTTTTTTTGGTCCTATGGACCGGACCTGTAAACACTAACAGTAGTCCCACCTCATGTCGTTGACTGGTAGCTACCATTTACATCATGAAAACATGGCAGTTACTGCAGGCCATCTTGATCAGCTACCACGTTGGAATGAAACAGTTTTTCATTCCTGTTTCATTTCTTCCAGAAAAGATGTGTTTCATTCATTTGTGATGATTTTTTTCATTTTTTGTTTCATTCCTTTCCAGGGAGAATGAAACACATTTTGCCTCATTCTGTTTCATTCTCACTTCTGTTTCATTCCTGCCAGAAAGAATAAGTTTGATTCTGCTTCCTTCATTGCTGACAATTATTTCATTCTTTGTTTCATTCTTGCCAGAGGATTGAATATTTCATTCATTTTCAATTATTATTTCATTCTTTCTGGACAGTTATTTCAATGATGTAGTACATATACAAATAAGGAAATAATATACAAATGATGCCTGATATGGGTTGTGCCCTTCTGCAGTGGATTGAGGGGCCATATGGGGGTATTTTTGGATTTGAGGCAGATATATGCAAAGAGCTAGCAGTGGTGTTGCCAAATAGGGCACTTACACAGTTCTAGTTCATCGCTATGGACAGGAATGAAACAGGAATGAAAAACTGTTTCATTCCAACCTGGTAGCTGATCAAGATGGCCTGCAGTAACTCAATCCCCTATTCCTTGTCCCCCTTTTCTTTTCCCTTCCCCCCTCCCTCCCCATTTCCTGCTCCCCCCCCCTTCCTTCTCCACCACTCTCTCTCCCTACCACTCCCTCCCCCCTCCATCACTCTCCCCTCCATCACTCTCCCCTCCATCACTTTCCCCTCCATCACTTTCCCCCACTCCCTCCCCCCTCCCTTTAACACTCAATGTAGTAGAATAGATTTATGTAGTTCTATCAAATACACTGTGATTCTCCCTATTCAAGTCTAAATATCATAAAGACTTCTTAGAAGTTATGAGCATAAGGTCTGAGTTGATTAAGTCACATGACATCTAGCTAAGCTTGGAATTCCATAATATACTCTAGGCTCCAAAATATGTGTTTTAGGCCATTTCTGTCCATTCCTGTGGATTCCAGTGGATTCCTGTGCCATTCCTGCAGGAATCAGTGGGGCATGATGAAGTACTGCTCGACATCTCGAAAACTACCATCCCTGCTGATAATGACAGCAGCAAATACAAATGATGCCCCCACTTCCAAGAAGGTGTTTCTGAAACCAGTCTCTGAGTGGGCTGCAGCTGCACGGGCTGTTGCTATCGCCAACAACTCCAAGCTTGGTTCCAGCGAGTCTGTCGGAGGTGCCACCACGAGCACTGCCCCTCGAAAACTATCATCCCCGCCAAGAATGACAGCAGCGAATACAAATGATGCCCCAACATCCAAGAAGGTGGTTCTGAGACCACTCTCTGAGTGGGCTGCAGCGGTGCAGGCACTTCAACTTCAACCCGGCTCCCCATGAGTCTGTAGCGGCTTTGCAGTCCACCACCGCTCAATCTCCACCAAACCAAAACCATGCCCCATCAAGAAGCCGACAGCCGTCATTTGGGATTCTGGTGATCTCTTTCTCGTCAAGCCCTCTGCCAGCATTGGTGAGCAATCTCTTCAAGGCCCAGGACAAGCACCAAAAGCTCGCATGCAGCTGGCACCTCTGACAACAATGGTTCCAGCAACGACAAGCACTCAAATACAGTCGAAACCATCAGTGTTTGGCCCCCTGCCTTCCTAGCACCGCTCCTACACCATCCAAGTCCAAGCTACCCTCCAAATGCACCGCAGACAGCCAGAAGATAATCCCAACCACTACGAGCAAGAAGCCACACACCATGAACGAAGCTGGGTGGGACATGATGCACAATACTTTGCCCGAGGGAGATCCAGTTGCCGATGCAATGCAGGAAGAGCACACTGCTGGATTACCAGAGGAATTCACATCCGGCAAATAAATGGAGGAAGACGTAGCTGCCGATTCAGCAACACAGGGGTACCAGTGGCCATACGGCGCTTACTACCCTCTGTATGGCTATCCACCACTGGCTGGGGCTACCAACCATGGAGCCAAGACCACCCAGCTGGGACTGCTGCATCTGGTTCAGACTTTCCCCCCTTCCCTCCCCCACATCCCAGGCTTCCCTATCCCCCGCCTCATGGATACTATCCCCCTGGTGCCGTGGCGGCCTTGCGAAGCCAGCTAATGCGGAGGCTGGTCCCTCATGGCTGGTGTGAGTGTCTTCTTGCTCAATCTTTTCATATGTTTGCACGATGGTGATGATGTGTCTTCTGTGATGTTTTGTCTTGCAATTCTTGGCACTAAGTATCCGAATTTCTCTCCTTTTGGACTCTTGCAATGCCCTCTCTTAGATTGTTATATTACTGTATTTATTTGTTACTCTCTTGTTTTTTCCCTGTCCCTCCCTTCCCCTTCCTGCCCCCCTTCCTTTTCCTACCCCCCTTCCCTGTCCCTCCCCATTTCCATGTACCCCCATTCCCTGTCCCTCCCTATTTCCATGTACCCCCATTCCCTGTCCCTCCCCATTTCCATGTACCCCATTTCCATGTACCCCCTTCCTTTTCCCTCCCCCCTTTCCTGTCTGTCCCTCCCCATTTCCTTGTCCTTACCCCCTTCCCCATTTCATGTCCCTGCCCCCTTCCTTTTCCCTGCCTCCTTCCCTGTCCCTCCCCATTTCCTTATACCCCCTTCCCTGTCCCTCCCCTGTCCCTCCCCATTTCCTTGTCCCTACCCCCTTGTCCATCCCCTCTTCCTTGTCCCCTTTGATATGCACTGTATGTAGTAAAATAGATCTTATGTCATTAATAAAATACATTAAAAATTGATCTATTGAGATGTATGACTTGACTAGGTGTGAATTCTGTAAGAAATTCTGAGTATTGAGGAGTTGCATCAATGCAGATTAAGTCACCTGACCTCTAGCTCAGTGCTGATCCATTCTGATTGTAGAAACTCTGATCAGTGCTGATCAGAGCATGTGGGGGAGGGTAAAGTACTGCTATTTATGGTGGATTGTGGTCTTGTTCAACTGGAATCCAGTGGATTCCGGTCCCATGACACCGGAGTCCTGTCCCATTCCACTGGATTCCGCTGGAATGACCAGAGTCCGACAGGAATAGGTAGGGCACAGTAAAGTACTGTTCGTGGTGGTTGTCGTGTCGTGTCTGTGGGTGGGGTCGTTGTTGTCTGCCATGGTTGTTTGTTGTTGTTGTCTGTCATGGCCGTTGTTGTTGTTGTGGTCGCGTGTTGTCGTCATCCATTGTCGTCGTGGTGGTCGCTATTGACAAGGCGACGGCAGTGACAAGGTGACGTGTACGTGGTGGGTGAGCAAGAGGGTGGTGATGGTGGTGTTGTCAAGTGTTGTTGGGTTTGGGCAAAATTCCCACTCATGGAATTCACTTACGTCCTTTCTGGAAGGAGGTCAGTACATTGGCATATAATACGAACCCGTAGTAACGCCGTCATAGTGCAACTTGTAAAGTGCTTGATGTGAAGTATTTGCCACTATGTCTGTAAGGTTGAGAGTTCAATTCTTTCATGTTGCACTTTTTTTTATATTATATAATAACAACAACAGTGACAAACTGTTGGTCCCACTGGGCTCCCTATCCCTGGAAATTCCTACTGGACTCCTACTGGACTCCTTGTACTGGACTCCACTATACCCATTCCTTAAAAATCCACCAGAATTCCACAATTCCTGGTGATTTGGGATCATTCCAGTAGGAGTTTGATAGGACTCCACTAGGACTAGGGTACAAAATTTGTATGGTGATTAGCCAGCATGAAATTTGACCCAGTCCTAGTCCAGTCCAGTAGGAGTCCAGTAGGAATAGGTGGGGGAGAGTAAAGAGCTCAGTTGTGGGGGTAGTAGACTTCATCAAAGAGTGATTCTAAGAGGCGAATGGAAGACTGCCTGTTGGTATCGTCCTTCAAGTCAAGGGCCTTCTGGAGATTATCCAAGGTGAGCTCTTGTTTTTTGTTGAAGACATAGACTTGTTTACGGCCGTTGCATTTTACCCATGCTTGAAGCAGTGCCCAGACGAACTTGAGCTCCTACGAAGCACAGCTCGCCACCGATGTTAGGGTGGAAAATGCACGGCGAGGCTTAATTCTTGACATACCCCTAAATTCTCATTAGCAACAGTGAAAATCAAACCAAGGTATAAATAAAAGCTCACAGCGTGGAATTCATCATGAGGAGAAATATGGCGCTTGGAATTGATTCCTTCTGCTCCATAAATTGGATGCCCTTCTTGTATGTTTTGAGGATCAAGTGCTGGAGGATGCCATAAATTTTATTTTCTGGGTCTGGGTCAAAGGGTTTTCGGAAGTTCTTTCTGTTGAACGGCTGGAGAAACTGGTCAATCCCAGTTTCAATGAAGACAGGAAGAATGGTCCTGATGTCTTTATCTGGAAGGATGTTCAAGTCATTCATGTAGGTGGCCATTGCCTGATGAAGCAGCCCATGAGCAGCATCCAGATCAAATCCTGAGATGTCGATAATTTTCACAGTTTGGTCGACTGTAGACAGCTGGGCCACTGGTGAAACTTCAATTCATTGAAAGTCTGGGCGTCCACCTTTCGACTTTCCTCACTGTAGCCTCATCCATGACAAGGGCTCAAGTGATTGTGGAACATACTTTTTGTTGCAGTGATATAGCCACATATGTCATCGCCATTCACTTCAATGGTGCACTGGATTGCATCATGGAAGGTTTGAAGGCCAACAATGGGGGGGGGGGTGGCAGTTCTCCAGGGAAGTTGGGACCAGGGAGGTTCTGCCATGAAATTGTATCCTTTGCTATGGAGCCTGCAGAAATCAAAGACTCAATGATCTTATCCTTGAATTTGTTATAGCTGTTAAGGCATGCAGAGGGGTGGTTTTCAAAGACAACTTCAGTAGACCTCCAGCATTCCAGAGCACTGTCCCAGTTCATTCTTTTAGCTCTGTCTTTTTTCAAATGGTTATAAAGTGGTTGGAGAGAAAAACACTCTGCACAGGAGCAATTTGTATAGGGTGTTGAAGGACACCCCATATTGTTCAAGGACGGGAGTGGTGATGACGTCCAACTGGGGAGATCTATCACTGGGGCTGGGTTGAGGGCTAGGGCTGGGTTCAGGCTGTGTATTATAACTCAGTAAATATTCATGCTTTGAGGTTGATGACGCACTGTGATGAGACTTGGGCTTTGCTGACTTTCAGCCTTTCTCCTACGCCTAGTATCCACCTGTAAGGGAGTGGGGCTGGGGGCATGCATCTTGAAATTTTCAAATGGGCCCATGATTGATGGGCCAGTGGTGTGTGACAGGCACCCATCAACAGCGGGCCAGCAGACTTGGCCGAGTTGTCATGAATTTGGCCTTGGAAATGGCTGGGCCGAGACTCTAAAATAGGCCATGCGACATGTGTGGGCTGCAAGAACAGAGCCCCATAAAGGACAGATCAGCCCACTTTGCCCCTGGTGCCCATGGTTTGTGCCCGATTGCACGGATCCCATTGTTGCGCCCATCAGTCTTTCATGCAGGCGGTGCATATGGGCTGCACAGTTAACCAGAGTGCTGCCTAGTTAGTACCATGGTGGGGGACCATGCAGGAGAAAGTTAAATAGATATATTATCAACCTGTTGTATGTGAAGTATTTGAATGTGTTGGCAGCAGCCTGAACAATGGGGTGCAATTATTTCAACCTCCATGAGAGGCACAATTCTTTTGCGCTCCATGGGGGCACAATTATTCTGAGCTCTACAGGAGGCGCAATTATCTTGAGCTCCATGAGGGGCAAAAATCTTGCACTCTACAGGCACAAATATTTTGAGCTCTGCAAGGGTGCAATTATTTGTGCTCTATTGGGGTGCAATCATTTTGCACTCTAGAGGTGCAATTCTTTTGTGCTCCACAAGAGGCACAATTCTTTTGCACTCCACAGGGGGCACAATTCGTTTGCACTCCATGGGGCGCAATTATCTTGAGCTCCATGAGGGGTGAAAATCTTGTGCTCTCCAGGTGCAAATATTTTGGGCTTTGCAAGGGGCGCAATTCTTTTGCACTCCACGGGGGGTGCAATTCTTTGGGTGCAATTATTCCAAGCTCTACAGGGGGCGCAATTATCTTGAGCTCCATGAGGGGCAAAATTATTTGTGTTCCATGGGGGGCACAATTATTTTGAGCTCCATAAGGGATGCAATTCTTTTGTGCTCCATAGGGGGCACAATTCTTTCAAGTGCCACTGTATGTACCTTGTGCTGTTGATAGGGTCACAAATAGTCTGTGTCCAGCATTGGGTAGTGAATACAAATGTGAGTGGGTGCCATTGTTTCAATGTCAGAGTGCGCCCATCAGAGTGCACCCAATGTGAATGTCCACCAAATGTCAGAGTGCACCCAATATGAATGTGCATGAAATGTCAGAGTGTGCCCAATGTGAATGTGCAAATGTGGACTTGGCAGTTGCTGAACAAGTAAGGTCCATGGGAATGTTAAGAATATGGAGAAGAGTCAATTCATAGTGTTTAAAGGTCCAGTCGAAAAAAACCGGTGGACCGAACTGAACCAGACCATGGTCTGGTCTTTTTTTTGGTTGCAGTCACCCAAATTTGGGGTTGGTCCAGTTGCTGGTTGCCTAATTTCAAAAATCTTTTAAAACTGTTCAAAGACTTGTTTAAATTGGTTGCAGCCAGTTAAATGGTCACGTGCGTTACATACCCTTGTAACCATGTGTATTGCCTTTAATTGGGTTTTTGGTTCATCAAAAACAGTTAAGAACTGAGAAAGATATAATCAAATCCATTTTGGCACAAATGCTTGTTTGTGCAACTTGTACCAGAATGACTTCAATTCTAACTCACTCATACTTTCATCATTTTGCTTGATTCAAATTTTGGACATTGACATTTTAAGTATGAAAATATACTCACCATCTATCAATATATGGTATGCATCAAATAATTTACAGTTGCCACATTACATTTTGCCCAAGTCTTTAGGAGATGTAATTTGGTTTCAGTCATAGCTATGTCAAACCTTCATTATATTTCTTGAGAATTGGTGGAATGATGGGTATTTATATGTTTTACTATAATATATAACCAGTTTACTTTTTAGAGTAATAATAACTTAGATACAAATGGTTTATATTGGTATGACAAATTTTATGCAAAAAAACTGGTCTGAATCAGTTTGAACATGGTCCATGGACTGCAAAAGACTGGTCCCAGGTGGTCCAGTTCGGTTCCCTCAATATCTGGGTCAGTCCTAGACCAGTTGCAGTCTGCAGTTGCCTGTTTTCAGGGCAAAAAACTAGACTGAACCAGACCTGCAAACACTATCAATTTATATGGACTGAAAGTAGTGCACAAGTCCTCAACATCTTGGGTTGGAACTGCATCAGCAGGCTCAAAACCACCAGTTTTGATATCCCCAGATGTTGATAGAGAATGTGAGTGAGAGTGAGAATGGACGGAGGAGTGGGGTGTGGCAGAACGAGAGGTAGATGGAAGAGATCCACCTTGGAGTGTATTGAAATAGGATATAATACCCACAACAAGAACGTGTAGAGTTACCTTGTTACCTGAATTGTCAAATAAAATGGTGTCATTGATTTCAACCACAATATCATAGAGATCGTGGGCCATCCAAAGGCCATCAAGAGCATCATAAACAAGAATACGGTTACCTAAACAGAGTTATATCACATTCAAAGCAATATATATCATAAATTAAATTGCTTATGAGTAACTGGTGGCCAGCGAAGAGCTACTTCTTTAAGGACTGGTCCCAAGTTCATGTTGACAGTGACAGGAACCTTCAGACTGGGTTGCATGGTTGGAAATTCCAGTTCCACAGGAACCAGAGGTGAAACATATATCTTAACACCACCCTTGACTTTTCCTAAGACAGGAGCAATCTGAAAATCTTTATCAGCAACAAGATTGTAATGTTGGCCCATAGCTCTGTTCTGCAAAATGCCTCCAGTGGCACGTGAAGAACCCTCAGGATGAGGAGGGCCTTCCATAGAGACATCTCGATATCAGCTCTTTGAGTGGTATACAATGATAGGCTGATTCATCCTTGGAGGTGTCCTCAAGTCAGGTCATGTTGCAAGTTGACCATGTATTGAGACAGAACAGTAGACATCAACATGAATGGCCTCCTCTGGCTTGACAGCCAACTTGGGCATGATGTGGAAAACTGATAATGTGGCAATAGCAATATGTAAAGTCATGGCAATCCTTCAGCCATATCAATATGTAAGATCATGTTGACCCTTCAACCTCATCCCCATAACCTAGACAGGGCCAAGGACACCGTAACCTACATGTCAGCTACAAACTTTTGTAGTCTCAAAAGCAGACATAACAAACTTTTCAAATGAAAAAGCACACACTACAAACTTTTGTAGTCTAAAAAAGCGGACACTACACACTTTTTCAAATAAAAAGCAGACACTGCAAAGTTTTCTAATGACAAAAGTGGACATTACAAACTATTGTAGTCTAAAAAAGTAGACAGGACAACCTTTTATAATGGGTCTCATGCTCTCTTTTGCATATGATTCCTCAAACCAAACATGGAATAGGGCTCAGAATCCAGCAGAATCCACAATTTCTACCATTCCGGCAGATTCTGAATGGAATTCCAACACTCCACTGGATTCCAGTGGAACCCATGTGGGAGGGTAAAGTACAGAAACAAAGGGCTAGGACCCAGTTAAATTAAGACTGAATCTTGGTCACCCTGGTGAGTCCAGCCATCAATAAGATGAGCATTGTCGAGGGGAAAAAAAAAGAGGCTGAGGTGGACACCTGTAAGCTTTTACCACTTCAGCCACTTCCAGGGAACTTTGTCAAACTGCCAGAGGTTTATTGGAGTTGCAGATAAGGGCGTACTAGGCATAGTAGACTGAGAGCTGAGGATACGTAGAATTCCATCCTGGTATGGCATCCACAATCTTGAGGTGGTTGAGAGACTTGAGTTGGTTGAGAGAAGATGACCATTGGATTTGCATGAGTGTCACATTCAGCTGGTGTGATCGTGTCATCACTGTCTATTTCTTTTTTTCTCTAGGATTTCCAATGGTGCTTAAGCCTTGCAAGGATGGTATTCTTGCAACAGCTTGCTTCAAATCACACTAACGGAACACTGGCTTGTGTTACTGAATCTATGGCCATTGTTTTTAGTGTTCATTCTGGTCACTGCATTCCAGTGGCATTCTGTTCCAGTGCATTCTGGGGACTGTTCTGGTGTAAATACCAGAATAATAAAATTCTGAAAATTTGGCTGGCAAATTCCTCTGGTTTACTCTAGAACCTCTGTGAAACCTTGGTAATGAGACTGTGTAACACAGCCAATACCAAGGCTTCCGAGTCCTCACTTCTGTCAGATTTGTCCAACTCTCCAACCAGGTCTGACAAAGTGTCCATCTGCCTAATATTGAATACAAAGATCTGATTTTTGTGCTTGTCGGCGAGGTGGTAGAATTCAACAAGTGCCCAGACAAATTTAAGTTCCACCAGTGCATAGACAGCAACCAACTTTGGCTCTGTGAGTGGGGAGAACACATGGCTGAAGAGTCAAGTCCCTCTGAAGCTTTATAAGTACATGCAAACTGATATAGTGTAATGAAGCACTCACGGCATGCAATTTGTCCTCCCAATTAAAGATGACTTAATAACTCAACAAATCTAATGTTTTGCTCCCCATTTTGTCTCATAATATTGGTGAGTTCTACTACTGTGTCCACAGATAACCACAACATTTTCCCCATGATGTTTCTCCACCCCTGCCCTGTTGCGGAACCAGTGTTTGTGTTTATATTGCTATACAATCTGACTTGTTTGACAGGAGGGAGTTGAGCAAAGTCTCTCCAGCAAAGATTACATCAATTTCACCAAAAGTGTCTGTGTTGCCTGTGGCTTTCGAAAGCCTTTCACTTACTCTATATAAAAATTCACAGCTAATTAACAACACCTCATCAAATAGTAAGAAATCAACACCTTCCCACATAGATCTGAGCTCATCATTCACTTTAGCACTTGCACATTTTTTTGAGACACTGTAATTAAAAATAGAAAACCTAGAATAATATAAAAGGGGGACACATGCAGGCTGAAACAGAAGGAATTATCCCCCACATTGGCCAGCTGTCGCACTCCCAGTAGCATCTGAGGTAGTGGATAAGTTTGTAATCAATTAAAAGGACTTTTACTTTGCAGACATAAGTAAAGTGTCCCCAGAACCAGCATGTTAAGTGGGGATCACTAAGCTTTGTAAGGTTATCTTGTCAGTTAGTAAGAGAGCTCTCTACTACTTCCAACGAATCCAAGTGAGTGTGCTTGAAGAGTCTTTAAGACTAGTTTTGGATCAACTCAGGGACATAATAAAAGCTCAAGGGAGTTACAAAAGTCTACAAAAGCACCATTTCCTTGACATTTCTTTGTATAAAGTTAGAGTGCAATCCCATAACACTGAGATAGTCCCAATAAAAGCTGTTTCCCTTCAAAGACTATTAAGTTTCAAATTCTATACTTGTGCCTGCACGTAAAAACAATACCATCTGTACCAAAAGGTCTACTAGACTAAGACAAGTGTTATAAAATATACAAGACAGTTTCTTGAACTTCTATTTAAGTTCTAACAAAAAAAGCGTGGTAATTCTGTTGACCGTCCGAACCCGAACTCGAGCACATACCTGTGGTGATAAGTGTTGAAGGTGTTAGTGTTAGTGTGTGTGTGTGTTGTTTAGATGTTCACACATCTTGTCAGTGCATCTGCTTGCACTTTCCTCACTTCTGCATGTCACAGACTTCTCAGAGAGCATGGCCTACTACCTGTCCTCAGCCAACTGCTACAGACATCATTGAGATTTTCATCTCAAAATCAATGTGGCATCAGTGTACTTAGTGTTTGGAAGTCCGGTCTCGTGACTGGAAAAAGACCGTAACCAGACCGGACCAAGACCGCAAAAGACCGGACCTGCGGTTACGGTCTTTTATTTTTGAAATGTCAAGACCGCAAAAAAACCGGTTAACGTGAACCGGTCTTGACCGGTTTGGACCGGTCTTTTGTAGCCCCTTAAATACCCTTTAAAACGCACCCAAGAACGTACGATTTGGTAAAAAAACGAGAGAGATGTGAATTAAAATGTAAATTACTTTTGGGAATAATAGATGTACCAGACTTATTTTATAGAAGCACCAATTCCTAACGGAATTTAACGTTCTTGGGCTCGTTTTGAAGCTATTAGAGATGTTAATAAAGTTACCGATTCATAATTTTAAAATATTGGCCTAAAGGCCGGTCATAAACCGGTTAAAACCGATGCAGACCGAAACAGGTCTATAGACCGCAAAAAACTGCGGTCTGCAGTCTTTTTGCGGTCCGGTCTGGTCCTTTGACTTCTGGGGTAAAGGCAGACCGGTTACGGTTACGGTTAACGCCCCTGGGCATCAAAAAACCGGACCGAACTGGACTTTCAAACACTAAGTGTACTCCAAGTACCAAATACATGTGGGGTTCCACTGGTGAACAGCTGTATTGAATTTTGAGCCCGAAAGTGATGGTCCAAACAAGGCAAAGCATTGCAACCATTGCCAAACAACTTTAATTTTTTTTAAAATCCTGATTGCTATCCCTCATCAATACTCAGCAGTAGACTGCCTCCGTCATCAACACTCCCCTCTGCCACATCAACTGTGCAACAATTTTTTGGGTCACAGCTTCAACAGTCAGGATTGAAGGGCCTTGACAAGCCACCTGATGTAATCATACTCTGGTCAATGTTGTTGGCAAGATTTTGAGTGTTAGTTCCCTCAAATCTCAACCCAGGTCCACTATTCTACATGAACACTTTCTCACACAAATTTCTTGCTTTCTTGAGTCAACATAAGGTACCATATCATGCAGATGGATGAGGGATGATGATGACAACAAGAACATTGCTGTCATTGTTATATTGGATATAGTAAGTACCCTCCCCCCTCCATCACTCCCACCCAACCCTCCATCACTCCATCACCCCCTTCCCCCTTCCCAACACCCCTCCCGCCCTCCCTCTCCCCTTCCCCCCATTTCTCACTCCCTCTCCCCTTTCTCACTCCCAGCACTTTCCTCACTCCCGCATGTCACTGTCTTCTCAGAGTTGACTGCTTGAGGCATTTGACTGTTTATGCATATTATCATTGAAGAGAGATACATTGTTATGAACAGGGGAACAGAGAGCCATAATTCAGACAGCCACATGGTTGTTGATGATAGCCTCGAGGGAGTCAATGTGATTTCGAGGCCTCAGCAAAATTCGGAAGCACATGACTCCCATGAGGTCTCAAATGTTGCTGCTATTGAATGTGTTCATTTGATGAAGACCCATTGACAGCCACTGTCCAAAGGTTAATCAGTATTCATTTACTCTTAAGAGCATACATAGATGGGCTGCACAAACCGAAATGACATCTTCTGTGATCCTGTTATGGAAGAATATCACTCCAACTGATTGGGCTCTAGGTGGCCAATTTGTGAGTGTAGGGGCAACAGGCCCATAAAAGAGGGTCCAGAGACAGTTGAGGAATCTAGGGTAATGAAAGGGTAATCCCTGGTACCACAGTTAGAGCTGTAATAAAAAAGAGAATTTCAGCAAAAAAATCACTTTACTGTCACAGAGGGTCATCGTAGCCCTTGTCACTTCATACAAATCCACTCCATATGAAAAGAGGTCAAAAAATGGTTGCAGCCCTACATCATTGAACAGGAGGATGGCCTTCTCCTTAACTAGTTTGTAATAGGCCTCTGTGGCCCTTTGCTAGTTTTTCAAGATGTGCAGGAAGTGATCCTCAATGATGATGTGGATAGAGGACCTTAAGGAGTTTTGGATGTCATTATAAACTGGGGGCCCTTAGTCAGATGAGAGAGCTTGCAAAGGAGAATCAAAACTCACCTGGTTCACATTCTGTAGGCAAGAGCTTTGGCCCATACCAAGTGGCAGCAAACAGCACTTTCACACTGTTTTTGGCCTGGGGATAGATTTCTCTGGTAAACAGCTTCATAAAAATTTCGCCCTTCAGGAGCTTTACATGGAAAAAAAAGATGGTCCAATCCAAGAGCTTTTTGAACTTCAGGGTGTGTTTCTGGAGACAGCCTCTCTAAACCCAGAATAAGGCGATAAGCTAGTTGAGGACAAAAAAGCATAGTTACAGTGATACATCTAGTTCTGTGGATAAAGATTTCATTGGTGGGATTCTCATTGAGATCTTCATCATTGTCTTGACCATCTTCTGGCACAGGTGGTAGCATTTTAAAAAAAATAGGGATATGGCATGGTTGCTGTATTTCATCAGTCTCCAGTCACACTGAGGGTTCAAACAACCTACCGCCTTGTTCCAAGACAACTGGGGCACCTGGTCGATACTGGTGGCAAGTTCTGATGAGCTGCTTATCATGGGGAATTGAGGTGATCAATTCGATGTACCTTGAGACATGGGGGGGAAAACCTTGGAACCCACATCCTGGTTCCATTCATTCCACCTTGACCTGTAGGTAGCTCAATCAGGCCTGGTTTTGCAGTATATACTCAAGGACATAAGCGACATAAAGCACACACTGCATGGGAAGATACTTACCATCAATTTTGCAGTCTTGGGATTGGAGGCTTCAAGCTCGTCTAATTCAACATGGTGGAACCAAACCCGGTTCTTTTTCTTATCTAGTGCCATCCTCTTTCTCTGGAAATAGCCATTGAGGGTGTGCCATCTGATGCTCAGTACATCTTACTATCAAATGAACAAACATCACCCACATTATTATGTAGGTCTTTTTCTGACTGCTAGAGAACAGAGATGTCAGACTTCTAGTTGGGTTTTGGGTAGTAATTTACTGTACAGTGTAGTAGGGCCAAATACCAAGGCCATCCTGGTATAAATAGCCAGTTGGCTTGTAGTGATGAAGTTGTGGGACCAAGCCTAAGCCCAGCAGATTGATCATCAGAAAGAGCAGCTGAAAAAGATAAGGTAACTTACATGGTATGCTTTTGGCTTGCCTTCCGATCAATTGAAAAGATAGCCAAATAATGTGTGGTCTGGCTGTTGTTGGGTGTGGACATCAGGGTTTCAGAAAACTTGGGAAAGCTCAGAGAAGCCAGCAGCACTCAAGTGAACTAAGCCAAGAAGGCATTGATATTTAGCAAACTAAAGGTAGATATATACCGCTTCAAGGCACGTGGCATCTCAAACATGACAGCTGTGGCTGAAACATTGGCACATCGTTTCTTCCTTCTACCACCACCATCACCAGCCACAACCGCCCATGACATTGACAATGACAACAACAACAACATGCAACATCGCCAACAACCATGCCACCACTACAAGAGCCACACGATGTGGTAATGCCACATCACATGGATGGGAGGTGACGACAATGACGATGATGTGGAACATCAATGGATGTTCTGCCTTGTCTCCAGCCCAGGTAAGCAGGCTGGGTAACCGCTCCCAGTTGCTTTTGACAACAACAACCAGGTGCCATATCACGGTGAGTGACATGGCAATCATGGGTTGACAACCAACCTGCCTGCCCACCTAGGAACAACGCACACCACCCCCACCACCCAACCAACCAGCCCGCTCACCCAAGAATGATGCACACTGCCCCACACCACCCCCACCACCCACGAATGTCACCAAACACCCACAACATGATGACAAATGAGAACACGACAAGTGCCCACGAACATTAACAACTGCCCAGGAAGACAAAAGTGCACAAATGGGTACCAGCACCCACGAAAACGACAAGCGCCCAATCACAGATGACAACCACCCCGGTCTACAAACAGAGACGATTACCCACAAAAGTGAATGGACACAGGCAATGACGAGCCCAGGTGAGTCCCCCTCCCCCATTGCTCCCCTCCTCCCCCTCCCCACATTGCTTCCCCTCCCCCCATTGCTCCCCTCCACTTACTCTCCTTCCAATTGCTCCCCTCCCTTTGCTCCCCATCCCTCCAGTGTCCCACTCCCTTCAATATCCTCCACCACTGTATTAAAATAATTAAATACATGTAGTCATATTCAATACATTTTAATTTTTCTTGAGCAGTTATTAGTCTGAATAAGTGTAGTTTTAACTTGACAATCTTTGGACCTTACCATGGATTCCAACAACCAAAGTATGGAATCCATCTGGAAAAAATATGGAATCCATCTGGGGGAAGTATGGAATCCATCTGGAATTTCTGGAATCCACCCCCCCCCTTCCATGCATTCCATATGGATTAAGCAGGGGAGAGTAAAGTACAGCTTAGCCCCACAATCGAAGACTTGCTGCATCCATTGGCAATGTTCACCAAAAGCATGCTGACAATGTTAGAGGCCCACGCATCGCCTGCATCATAGGCTACTATTGGCAGTATTCTAAGGTGGCAGTATAGCAGGTCTGCTGTTTCTGATGTGTCTAAACCATGCCTTCACTAGGAATCCGATCTCACTGGCTTCCACAAGCAGAATATGGACTGTGTAAACAGATTTATTTCACAGCCTATTGTCCAGATAATAATGTGAGGAACTTTTTGCTCCTCCAAGGGCTGAACTGACTGTACAGATGATTTTTGGAGCAGTTTGTGATGCTATTCTTCCCTGGCATTGCAAAAAAATTCCACTGGTGTGCTGAGTACCAGTCCACTGGACTCTCACTGGACTACAAGCCACATTTTAGAGTCCAGTCCCAGTCCAGTCATAGTCCACTGGATTCCAGTGATTCCAGTGCATCATTGCTCATTACTTATTGTTATTAATTATGAATACTACCAAAAAAGCGAAAATAGAGTATATAACAAACTTACATTTCTATTGATGGAATTACAATATGAATAGAGGTGTATTTGAGTGCTAGCTGCAATAAGGATTGATCATTTTGTTCAGTCTGCAGGGTGAAAATTGCACATGGCCTACTTGGGGGTGTGCATATTGTCATGTCTTCTGTTTGTGGCATGGTCACACTGCTGTGACCTTCCCTTTCCCTTCCACCACCACCACCCATTCGCCCCTCACTGCCATCTCAATGCCACCCATGACCCCATGCTAACGACCCCCACGCCAACGATGCCCATGCCAACACAGAACAATGGGCCAAGAACAAGGGACAGCACCCATGACATGGCAATGCCATGAAGGGGTACGTATGCCCCACCACCCCATTCCTCCATTCTCACCATGACAGGCACACCACACCCCACCAACACCAATAACCACCAATATTTATCACTCCTCCATCTATTCCTACTGGACTCCTACTGGATTTCAACATTCTTTCCAAAAAAGGATTTTCACATTCCCCTCCTACTGGACCCCTACTGGACTCCTACTGGACTCCTACTGGGGTGGGTGCTCGTTGTCTTTGTGTCGTCATCGCCATGTGATGGTGGTTGTCAACGGGGTCAGATGGGCACTCATCGTTGTGGGCGCTCGTCGTCGTCTTCATTAATGGGGTCAGTTGGGATGGAAGAGGGGGGGGGCACTCACCGTTGTTTGGTTGCCACGTCGCTGATAGCGATGTGGCCGTTTCGTTGACCTGGTAGCACGTGTCGTCATCCGTGGGTGTAGTCGTCTGTTGACGTGGCCATGGGGGCAATGTGATCATCCCTTGTCATCCGTTTTCATCACCTCGGCCTCGCCAGGGGCTCGTTTGTTGGTGACGTGGCATTCTCACGTCGTTCTTGATGCGTTGTGGGTGGTGGTGGCCATGGGTGATCATGGTGACGTGGTGTTGGTCAGTGGGTGTTGTGGATGGTGTGCGGTGGTGGCTATGGGTGGTTGTGAGTGGTGGCGGCGACTGGTGGTGGTGGTGGTGACGAGGCAGCACTGGGTGTGGATGGTGGTGGGAAGAGAGAGGTTTCGGATTGTTGATTTCTGTTGGTGTGAAATTCTCACTCACGGAATTTGCCGACATCCTTTCTAGGAAAGAGGTCAGCCGGTTGGTATGTGGAGCATATATTATGTCCCTATAGTAAAGCTGTCGTGGTGCAGCTGGTTAAGCACTACTATTGTACCTGTGCCCAAGAAGCTGAGGGTTCAATTCTACCAGATTGCACTTTTTTATATATTATATAATAACAATAACAACAGTGACAAACTACCCCTTTTACCTGGACACTCCTACTACTGGATTCCTACTGGACTATTCCTACTGGACTCCACTATACCCATTCCTTAGGAATCCACAATTCCTTGTGATTTGGGACTATTCCAGTAGGAATTTACTAGGACTCCACTAGGACTGGGACACAAAATTTGTATGGTGATCAGCCAACATGAAATTTGTCCCAGTCCTAGTCCAGTCCGGTAGGATTCCGGGAGTCCAGTAGGAGTCCGGTAGGAATAGGTGGAGGAGTGTAAAGAGCTCATAACCACCCATGGACGACATGATGACATGTCCTTGACATCTGAGGATGACGATGACAACACTCGAGGATGGTGACAACAACACCATGCAAGCATGACAACAACAACATGTGAAGATGACATCACATCACATCAATGGCCACGATGGACCACAACCCTATGAATGGCGACGAGTACCCACAAAAAACGTCAAGCACCCACCACCAACCACCAACGATGACAAGCACCCATGAAGGGCAATGAGTGCCCATGGATGTCCAGTGACTGCAAACGATGTCCACCGCCCCCAAATAATGCCCACTGCCCACCAACAATGTCCCCCACCCATGAAAACGATGTCCCCCACCCACCACCCACAAAAAATGGACACTGCCCATGAAACAATGTCTGCCACAGGGGGTGACGACGACAGGCGGCCAATGTGGGACAACAACAAATGGGGTCACCCCACACGAACGGCAATGAGGGCCCAGCACCACGACCCTTCCCCTCCACTCTCTCCCCCCTTCACTCTCTCCTTCCTTCACCACTCCCTCCCTCTTCACTCCCCCCCTTCACTCCCTCCCCCTTCACCACTCCCCCCCCCCTTTCTTCCCCCCCTTTCTTTCCCTCCCTGTTCACCACCTCCATCCCCTCTCTGTAACATAGAATGTAGGCAAATTAATTTATGTAGTTATTCAATATACTTCAATTTTCTTTTTCTTTTGAAATCTAAGGAATTCTGAATTAATTCAGTGGCAGTCCAGTCCAGTACATAGTGAAGTCCAGTGGAATCCACTGGAGTCCATGTGGATTACGTGGGGGATGGTAAAGTATTGCAAGAAGAATGCAAAGGTAGGATATAACTTTCTATAACTAATCAACTTATTGTAATGCAGAGGACATGCCTATGCTGTCCCCAGCCTCTCTGCAACCCTCCTGAACTTGCTTCCCCTTGGCAATCTGGATGTTAATAGGGGAATCTTGGCTGACACCCCCATTGACCCTACTAACGTTGCTCCAGCCAAAGCAGTTGTCAAAGGGCTCCAAGCTGTTCAAGGTGGGTACTCCCCAAAGGCATTTCAGGCCTGCATAATCATGGACCTGTTTCAAGATTTGCCCTTGAATCCTGGGGTCACAGAACAGATGATTAATTCCACAAATTTGAGGATGCTGGCAGTTGAAGGTGCTCATATGTCACTTTATACTCCCATTCTTGACAGCCTGCTGAACCACTTCTTCCAGATGTTGCTGCTGAGTATGCACGGTCTAGCAGAAGTCTTGCGACACCTCACAGCAATTGAGGCTGATGGCAAATTCGCAAGAGCCACCACTCTCAATTCCAGATTAATATCACAAAATGCCTGAAATCAGCCCCCCTTCACCCACTCCATAAAACTGTATGTTCCTTCCAAATCAGCCCATAATGTATCTGAGCCATTCCTTCAGGTCCCTGGGAGCAGTTTGGATCTCACCAGGGCCCTTGTGTCTAACACTGACAAGGGAAAATTAAATCAGCCAGCACAGCCCCCAGCAGTTGGGGACCTACCTCCAAACTGGGTGCAGGACATTGCAACTTACACCAACCATGACATACTCAATCCAATGAAACCTTTGATATCAGTGCAACAGATGATGTGGCAGCCTGTCAAATTAAGCTTGATTGAATACTTGTCTCACCATTAACTTGGATGTGGAGAATGAGGATGGGAGGGCAGGATTTGTTGAAGAAATGAAGATGGGATGGTAGGATACACTGTAAGCTTGCAGAGAGAGCTCACTACAACAGGTCATGCACATGTAGCAGCCTGTGGCATGATTAGTCTGAGTGACACTGCCTCTGTGTGTTTGTTCAAGACCTACAGACATACACACTCTTCAAACACATAAGAGAATGTGAAAATCTGTTCACTATTGGGCAAGTTATATGTATATCAAGACATTGCATATGTTGTATACATCACAATTGTTGCAGCAAACAGACACACATGTGGTTCGAACATAACTTGAAAAAATACATCAACATCACATACTATCAGTGCATTGTAATTGGAAGTAAAAAATGGGACCCCAGGATTGCATTCATCATGTAGGACTTGAACCCTCATACTGACCATAGAGCTGGTGTCATCATCAGCGCTGTTAAGCACTCAGTCATGGTGAAGTTGAAAGACAACTGCTGAATCAATGTGCCAGTGCAGTGATGTTTCTCCTAATTTTATTTCATTTACATAGGACTTAGTGGTTGGGCATTGTTGTATCTTTGTCCTTGTCTAGGAATGCATGGGTTATGTTATGCGCTAGCTTATGACATGACAATTTCTTCAAGCTACTACAAGTGGGAGGGGATGCATTAGTGAGTGTTCATCTTTGACGAACAGACATGCACGGGGCCCAAAATGTTTACAATTACAATTTTTTTAGTCTCCATGGATCAAGTTACAAATAAAACGAGATCTGACGTCCCTTCTGTGGCAGACAATTGCAGTGATGAGTTAGGTACAGAGGAGTGCAAAAAGAATGAAGGTTGGGTCATTTTCTGGTTCTTTCCAAGAATCTATTGTACCTCAAATGTATTTGTGTATTCTTATATATTATGTAGTTGTATTACACCTCCCTTGGTATGGATTAATTTCAGTGAAAGCTGGGGCCTTGAGAAGGTTTTTATTCTGGAGGCCATTTTTGGCATCTGAAAAAAAAAAAAAAAAGCGCTACCTGGGGAGGTAGCCAGAACATACCTCTGGTTAACTTGAATGAGTTTATCAATGAATTAGTTAAAAATACTGAGCAGTTAGGTCTGTAGAGGTTTTGGAAAATGGCTTGTATTGTCTAAAACAGGCCACAAATGACCAAAACAGCACTTCAGTCACCCATTTTAGGGTACCTATGAGGTACATCAATTCCTTGATTTAGGGTACCTTGAGGGTACCCATTCCGGGGTGGTATATGAGCTCAATACTAATACCATGGTACCATGGAATGGAAAACACCATATCCCACTCATACCAATACCATGTTACCATACCATGTCATCTCATACCATACCATACCATCATACCAAAACTGTCACGGGGTGTCTGGGGTCCTTTTCCAAAATATATAAATTATTTCTGCAGGCTGCAATATTGGTCCATTGGGTGCCATTTTTTGTGGGGTGGTTCTCCAGGTTTTTCCTGAGATATTAGGCTACAAATTGAGGCCAGATAGTCCAAACCATCTATTGAAAATGAGTTTAAATAAGCTTTATCCCAGCTTTCCCATGCATCCAAAGCCATTTAATGATACATATCTTTCCCAGTCCTTTCTATTTGAACAATATTCATCACAGATAAATCAATACTGCACCCATTGTGATGATGTGGTATTTGAGAAGCCAAGAAAAGAAGACATTTTGTGTATTGGCTATCAGTCCTGAACCATGCATGATACCAAGTCAAGTTATGGATTAGAAGTGGGGTAAGGTTGAGTGGGTTTTGCAGCGCTCATCTTGCTGGACAGCTGTTCATGTGCGTGGGCGGTCGTTTTCGTGGGCGGTGGTCCCCGTTCATGGGCGGTTGTCGTCCTGGGCGGTCGTTCACGTGTGTGGGCAGTCATTTTTGTGGGTGTTCATCATCCTGGGCAGTCGTTCATGTCCGTGGGTGGTCGTTTTCGTGGGTGCTGGTCTTCATGCGTGGGCGGTCATTCACATTGGTGGGCACTTGTCTTCGTCGGGGGCAGTCGTAATTGTTCGTTGTATGTGGTGGGCTCGTTTTGGCATCCGTGGGGCTGGGTTGCCATTTGTGGGTGCTGGGTGGTGGCTGGTGGGGTTTGTTTTGCTGTTCGTGAACCACGGATGGTTGCTGGGCGTCGTTTTGGTCAAAAGGGGAGCTGGGAGGGGTTGCCATACTTACCTGGGCATGGCAACATGCATTGTTGGCCTCGTCGTTGTCAATGTTGTGGGCGGTGGCAGATGGGGATGGTGGTGGGAGGGAAGAAACGATGTGGCAACGTTCCAGCCAAAGCTGTCACGTTTGCGACGCCACGTGCCCGAGGGTGGTATATATGTACCTTTAATTTAACATCTAATAACGCCTGCATGGCTCAGTCGGCTTGAGCACTCCTATTGTTGACGAGGTTGAGGGTTCAATCCTCTTCAGTGTAAAATTTAATTTTTACCTAAATATAGTAAGAACATTATAAATACTGTATTCTAATGGGTCATTAATTAATCTATGGCTGGAATCCAGATGGAATCCACCTGGAATAGTCCATGGAATCCATCATTCCATCCCTATTCCATATGGAATCATATGGAATCCATAGTGACTATGGAATAAAAAAATAGCTGGGGACTCACATAAAAATATTCCATATGGAATCCATGGAATGATGGTGGAATCAACCCATTCCATATGGAATATACTGGGGAGTGTAAAGACCTCTATTGTCTCCCCGTTTAAATAGGTCGATTCTAGGGTATTGACTTGCTTTTCCAGTCATAACCGTGTTCCTGCTAGATGCTCCAGTTCCATCTCAGTCAGTTTCTTTCATTTCAGTGCACTGGTGATTGGAGTGCATGTCACCTCCCCTCAGGCCCTTACTCTCCAATTGGTGAGTGGCAATAATCTCTGTCCAGCAATTGACTCCGCATTCAAATTGGCCAATTCTAGGGTTTTGACTTGCATCTCCACTTGGATTCGTGTTTTTGCCAGTCGATCCAGTTCCATCTCTTTCTGTTTCTTTCGTTTCAGCGCAGCGGTGGCCGCTGTGTCAATGCACACAACCTCTCGTCAGGTCGTCACTCTCAAATTGGTGAGTGGCAAAATTCTGCATTGCTCCTTATTTCTACAATTTTAATGAAGTGGTGTTTGTAGATAAGGGCTGTTTGTGGGAAGGAAGGGGGGGAGGTGTATCATGTTCAGTGGAGGGACAAGCCGAATTGGGTGATTTGCTATGGAATACGGCTAGTACAAGGTCTGCGGCGTTCGCTTTTCCAGTCTACTACATATGTGTTACACTAACTCACAATAAAGAATGTCACATGGTTTTTTTTTACAAAGTTGGCACTATAACACAAGAACCAAACATTCTGAGAACTATGCCCTGGTGTATGAAACATAGCTAACATAGTGTAGATTGTACATACCAAGTCTGGGGATGAACAATTGATAACTCAGGATAAGGCAGGGAATTGACTGTGACAAGTGCCAAAAATGGGATGGGAAATTCTGAATGACTGCAATCTACTGGAAGCAATTTATGACTTGAGGAAGAGACATTTTGAACACTGGGTCTCCCTGCTATTGTTATGAGCTTCATGAGGTTTCTGGGCCAGAAATTTTATATCCTCCTCTAAAAGGTAAATTTGAACTTGTTTTCCATTTTATGTATTTTACATTCAATATATTTGTTGGATTGAGGTAAAATGACTCCCCATCAATGTTTGTAGTGTGTATAATCCAAAAGGTGGGTAGAAATGTCAAAATGAACATTGCATGATGTCTGTAGAAGCTAATTTTTAGAGTTTTTCTGGAAGTAAACAAGTATCTACAACATTGGTCTTTCATTTCTGAAAGAAGAAAAAATGCTATCATCCTTTTGAATTGATCCATGGAGACTCAGAATGTCTTTTAAATAATTATTACTCTGAAAAATAAACGGGTTATATAAAATAGTAAAGCATATAAATACCCGTCATTCTACCAATTTTCAAGAGATTTAATGAAGATTTGACATAGCTATGACTGAAACTGAATTACATCTCCTAGAGACTTGGGTAAAATATGGATTTGGTTATATCTTTCTCAATTATTAACCGTTTTTGATGAAACAAAAACCCCATAAAAGGCAATAAACGTGGTTACAAGGCTATGTAACGCACGTGACCGTTTAACCGGTTGCAACCGATTAAAACCGGTCTCTGAACGGTTTTAAAAGATTTTCGAAATGAGACAACTGGCAACTGGACCAACCCCAAATTGGGGCAACTGCAACCGAAAAAAAGACCGGTCCATGGTCTGGTTCAGTTCGGTCCACCGATTTTTTGCGGTCCTATGGACTGAACCTTTAAACACTAACGACAGAGTGTGCCAATGAAGAAGTTCTTCAAAACAGTGAGTCTTCCTTTTTCGTGTTTTTCGATTCTAGAACTCGACTCCTTGTCGTTCCATGGGATTGGGTGGATTTTGACTCCTTGTCGATCCACCTTCCCACCTTCCTGAGTTTGACTCCTTGTCACTCACTCTTGGTTCGCTTTGACGCCAAATACACATTAATCTGATCTTTCTTAGGTGTTGGCGTCCATCTGGTTTTATATTCTGTTTCCATGCCATTCATCCATAACTGGTGAGTAATGTATGTTCGCGTATACTTATACTCATACTGAACATGGTCGAGGTTGTGAGTGAGTGTGCACTGGACCCTGAAAACAGTGCCTGACAGAAATATCCCACAGATGGGAATGAAATATCCTAGGGATTAGAATGAAATATCCAATGAAATATCCTAGGGTTCAGAATAAAAATCGCAATGAAATATCCCAGGGATCAGAATGAAATATCCATTGAAATATCCTAGGTATTCATATAAAAATCACAATGAAATATCCCAGGAATGAGAATGAAATATCCATTGAAGGTATCAATCAATATGAATGGCTTAGAATGGCCTTTCCTAATGTGAAAGACAACTTGTGCATGATAATGCTGCAGCACTGGCAATATGATGGCAATCCTTCAACCTCATCCCCATAATGTACATAGGGCCAAGGACACCATAAACTACATGTCAACCACAAACTTTTTTAAATGAAAATGCAGACACTGCAAACTCTTCTGATATTCTTTAGTGGTCTAAAAAAGTGGACACTACAAACTTTTGTAGTCTGAAAAAGTGGACAGGACAAACTTTTCTAATGGCTCTTATGCTCTCTTTTGCATATAATTCCTCAAACTAAATGGAATACATAGGGTCCCTGCAGTGTATCTGTGTATTCCCTAGCCATTTTCCCATCAAATGTGTGCCATGTATGCGATGGATGGGCATAGAGCTAGGTTGACTTTGGATAACCTTTTACTCCTAACCCTAACTATGTAGTCTAAGTGCAAGGTGGCCTGTCCCAAACATAGTCAACTTTGACATATGAAACAGGAATGAAATAGAAATGAAATAATACCTTGAAGGAAATGAGATACATTTAGTGTTCGCAGGTCCAGTTAAGTCCAGTTTTTTACCTCAAAACGACGCAACTGGCAACCGCAACCGGTCTAGACCGATCCAAATATTGAGGGACCGCAACCGGACCGCTTTGGACCGGTCTTTTTCGGTCCACAACGCAAAGAAAACCGGTCCAGACCGGTTGCGACCGGTCTTTTGTTGAAAAATTTATTGTGCCAGATATATTAAATGTTACCTCACGTACATAGCATGCGTAGATAGATAATTTAATTCTCCGTACGCTGGTCAAGATTTAAAGCGAATCGGTCAAGATTTGACTGAGATATGGTGAAAACGGAGAGAACATACATTCAAATTGCGTATAAAAATGTTTTTGGCCATATCTCAACCAATTCTTGACCGTTTTTGATGATTCAGGGACCGAAAATTAAGTAAAATGTGCACGAGTAAGGTACAATATGTGATGAGACGAAAGACCGGTTGCAACCGGTCTAAACCGGTCTTTTTCGGTTTTTATATATTTACAAAAACATGGCAACTGGCAACTGGACTGATCACAAATGTGGGCAACTGGCAACTGGAAAAGACCGGACTGTGGTTCAGTCCAGTTCAGTCCTATGTATATTTTCAGTCCTGTAGACTGGACCTGCGAACACTAGATACATTTCATAAGGTTTGCCATGTTATCTCATTTCATAAAAAACCTAGGCAATTATGTTTTATGATAAGAAGTGGTAGGGACTAGTGTATGTGATCACTCCGGGAAAAGAGGTGTGTTATCATGATGGTATGACAACAAAAAGAAATTGCATCAAAAAGGGCCATCTTAATGAGTTCACAGAGGAGGCACTCAAATCTTCCAGAGAAAAAAATTCAAATGGAGCATTTTTTTAAAGACAAGCAGTCACAGTAATTTATTCAAAGAAATAATTGTTGAAATATATTATTTATTAGATGATGAATTAAAAACATCTTTTGGTCAAGTTACCTTCTTAAAATTATATGACCTAGTCAGATAAAAATGAAATATTTCAAAATATATTAAAACAATAAGGGCATGCCCTCACTCATTTTCTGGCCTGTTCAGTCTGTACCACAGAGATACATGTTTGAAAACAATAAATTGAACCAAGATATTTAGAATGGTGGGGATGTGCCACGTCCTGCAGGTGGATAAAAAAGGAAATTTTCCTTATTTGGTAAGGCATAGTAAGATTCTTTTCCTCCACTAGACCCATTCTACTATATAAGGAGATAAGCTGAGAAATAATCTCCCTATTGGGTGACCTCCTTGGCTCTGTCCTTCACTCTATAACACTCTGCATGTCCCTCACTCCAGGTGTGTCCATTTCAAAATCAGCAATTCTACTTTTTCCTATCAAAACTGCCTTATTTGTGCTCCTCATTTGTTATCCTCAACTTCTGTAAAAAATAGCCATGCAGCTATTATACTTCTTCCATGTCCCTCTGGCTGTGTCCTTTTCAAAATGTGAGAACCAACTACTCAACTTTCTGTTAATAAAATCTACTTGTGATCTTTCAAAGTATCATCCCAATTTCAGTGGTACATAGTTTCCTGCATCAGTGGCCAGTGCAACTGGCAGCATTTCAGAGTTAGTGCCACTTACATACAATTTATGAACCTGGAGGCATATGACACCACCAAGATGGCGCTGAGCAAGCCCTTAGCTACTAGCAAGTTGAAACAGCTTTTGAAAAGTGTTAAACAGGCTCAGGCAAATTTCCAGTACTTTACAGTGCCCCACCTATTCCTGCAGGAATCCAGTCATTCCACTGGAATTCCGCTGGGTGTCGTTTGTGGGCGCAGGGGTGTTGTTCGTGTCCGCTGCATGTTGTTTCGTGTCCACGGGCGGTGTACGTGTCTGTTGGTCGTTGTTTTCTGTCTGTTGGGTGTTTTTCATGTCCGCAGGCATGGTTTTGCATCCGTTGGCAGTTGTTTCGTGTCCACTGGGTGTCGTTTCGTGGGTGGGGTGTCGTTTTTGTGGGTGTTGGGGTGTTTTCATGGGCGGGGGTCGTTTTCGTGGGTTCTGGCGCTCGTTGTTTCGTGACGTGGTGTCGCCGCGTTGTTGTTGAAGGGTGGCGTGGTCGATGTTGGTGGTCGTGGTGGCCATGGGTGATAGATGAGTGACGTGGGTGGTGGTGGCTATGGGTGATGGTGATGGCATGGCGTTGGCGGCGGCGACGAGCATGGTGGTGGTGGTGGAAGAAGAGAGTGACTGTGTTTGGTGAGCAGTGTTTGCCAAACAAGCATTGTTTGTTATCCATTGAAAATAAATAAACTATAATACATAACAAAACAATAAAATAACCAGATTACAGTTCCTGCACATTCCGGGGAATGCTATTCCTGCCCATTCCGGGGACCATTCCGGTGTAAATTCCGGAATGATCAGATTCCACCGGAATGAGAAAACACAGGAATGACAAATTTAGCAGGGCTTACTGCTAAATTTCATTCCACCGGAATGACCGGAATCCTGCAGGAATAGGGAGGGCACTGATAAGACCTCCAAATTTCTGCCTTCATGGCAGAATCACAGACTATGTGCGCAATGATGAAGCCATCCGCAAGATGTGGAACAGCATCCTGTCATCCAGGCTGGCCCAAGGGCTCCCTCACCACTTTGACATGAGTCCTTGGGTGTTGTTCCTGCTGTTTCTCACCCACAGTAAGCTTCAGCTTGCTATTGCTCCTGCCCCTGGCGATGGCAACAACAAGATCTGTCTCATGGGTGTCAAGGGCAAACAACACCTTTCAGAGTGGTGGTATCTCCTTGCATTGAAAGACTTTGCGACCATCGTCCAAATTTCCATGAGGGCTGGGATCAAGGAATTTTGCTTGGATTCTGCATGCTGGCCAACAGCTTCTGCAGTGAGGAATTCCCCTCAACACTATCATTGTGCAGGGGGAGGAATCAGTCAACAGTGAAAGGGTGTGCCTAGGCTTGGGACATCAACAGGTGGGCTACATCCCAGAGCTAAGGGATTATGCTCACTATGAGGCCCAGCGATCCAAGCTGCTCCACGGAGCACAACGGTCTCTATGCATGGGTGGCATTGAAAATGGGTGGACTATACTGGCATCTCGCACTGGACGATGCTGGTGATGCCAGCAAGCAGCTTGTGAAGAAAACTATGAAGCACTGCCATTGATAAGGCATCACCACAAGAATTCTTTATTGATGACCAACTCAGCCTGCCAGCAGTGTCCATTCTCAGTGGGGTGTACATCATTGAAAAAACCAAGTTGAGCACATTTCTTGGTGGCCAAAACAGGAAAAATGATTCACCCAAATACCTTTCCCTTCTCTCAATTTTTATGATTCTTTAACTTCTTCACCTTCCTGTTCATTGTTGTCTCCTCATCTGTCAGTTGGTGCATGTGTTTACTGGATTTTGGAGTAGTGCCTGAGGATAGGGTTCACTGAAACCTGACACAAGGAACAAGGGCAGTGGGTGCATTTTGGAAGTGTTCTTCACCGTGGTCAACAAATAATTGTTCCTCTGCTGCCACACTCCTTTTGGGCAGTACTTTACCCTCCCCGGGTTATTCCATATGGAATGGATGGAATGGGGGGTGGATTGCACAAATTCCATGGAATGGGGGATGGATTCCATGACTTTGGGGGATGGATTCCATGGAATGGCTGATGGATTCCATACTTCCCCCACATGGATTCCATACTTTTCCACATGGATTCTATACTTTTTTCAGATGGAATCCATACTCTATTCTATATGTTATACCATTTTAAGGGTGGAATCCACATGGAATGACTTTATGAAATAATTCTAAGTTGAGCAGGAAAAATTGAAATGTATTAAATAAATAGACTACACAATTTATTTTTACTATTCTCAATATTTAAGGGAGGGGGGAAGACAGGGGGAAGTGATGGAGGGGGGAGGATGTAGTAGAGGGAGGGAGGGGGAAGGAGTGATGGAGGAGAGAGGGAGTGGTGAAGGGAGGGAGTGGTGAAGGGTGAGGTGGGAATGGATGGAGGGGGGAGCAATGGAGGGAGGGGGAGAAATGGGAGGGGGAGCAACAAGGGAGGGAGGGGGGATGATGGAAGGGTGGTGGTGAGGAATGATGGAGGGAGGGGGAGCTCACCTGGGCTCGTCGTTGCCCATTTCCGTTGATGCGAGCAGAATCCTCCATGTGTGGGCGCGCGTCATCGTCGGTCATGGGTGGTGGGCTGTATTGGTGTCCGTGGGGGTGGGTTGCCGTTTCACCTTGGTGTTTGGGTTGTGCTTGTGGGTGTTTGTTGTCATGCATGGGCGTTCGTTGTCATGTCGTGGGCGCTCATGGGCAGTCGTTGTTGTGGGCGGGTGTTCATGGGCGGTGGGGTCGTGTCATGGTCTTCGTCTGCTGGGCTTTTGTTTTCGTTCATGTGCGGTTGTCTCATGGGCATTCGTGGGCGCTGCGGCGTTCATGGGTGGGTGGGCTCATTGGTTGTCATGTTGTGGGTGTTTGGTGTCGTGTCTGGGTGCTCGTTTCTTTTCGTGGGCGCTTGTGGGCAGTGGGGGTCGTGTGGGGCAGTGTGCGTTGTTTGTGGGTGGGCGGGCTTGTCGGTTGTCGTGTCCGTTCGTCATTTGGTTGCCACGTCGCTGACCGCAACCTCGCACCTGGTTTGTTGTTGTCAAAAGGTGGACTGGGAGGGGTTACCCAGTCCACTTACCTGGGCTGCAGTTGAGGCGGAACGTCCATTGACGTTCTGCGTTGTCATCGCCTCCCATCCGTGTGACGTGGCGTTGCCATGTCGTGTGGCTCTTGTAATGGCAGGGTCGTTGTTGATGACGTTGCGTGTCGTCGTGCATTGTCAGTGTGGTCGTCGTGGTCATGGTCGTCGATGTTGCGGGCGGTCGTGGCTTGAGATGGTGGGGTGGATGGTGATGGTGATGGTGGAAGGAAGAAACGATGTGGCATTGGCAACGCGTCGTGTCACGTTTGAGACACCACGTGACAAAAGGCGGTATATACATACCTTTACTTTCCCATATAATAATGCCTTCGTGGCTCAGATGGTTTGAGCACTGCTAATATTGACAAGGTTGAGAGTTCAATTCCTGTAGATGTAAAATTTCTATTTTTACTTAAATATAGTAAGGACACTATAAATACTGTATTCTAATGGTATAATGGTCATCCATGGAATCCATGTGGACTGCTCCATGGAATCCAAGGTGGATATGCCTGCATTCCATGTGGAATCCAATGGAATCCATATGGAGTGGTGTTGGAGTCCATATGGAATTAATCATTCCATGACCATTCCATGGTCATTCCATATGAAATCCATGAGGTCTATGGAATAAGAAAATGGCTGGGTCCTCAGCCAACATGGATTCCATACGGAATAACCCGGGGAAGGTAAAGACCTCCTTTTGGGCTTTACAATGAATGCATAGGAATCAGACAAAGTGACAAACTGCAGTAAAGAGCATGCATGGAAATCCAGAAGGTGTTATGGTACCTCCAACATCTCCTCTATTCATTTCCCTCTCATTTCATTACTCAGTATTCATCCTGGATCCTATGTACTTGTATTTACATGTAGCATACCTTGAGAATCCATCTACTTGACATGTTTGTAATACTGTTGATTGGCAAACATGACCTAACAGGAGGTCTTTACCCTCCCCCATGTAATCTATGTGAATTCCAGTGGCCCAATTGCTAGGCCAGATTGGCTTGCACAATGCCCAGTCCACTGGACTCTCACTGGACTACAAGCCACTTTTCAGAGTCCAGTCCCAGTCCAGTCAGAGTTTATTGGAGTCCAGTGGACTATACTGGAATATATGACTGAATTAGAACAAACATTATAGTAATCTCAGCAGTCTAGTGGACTCCACTGGACTCTACTAAATTAATACTTTGTCTGTAGTAACATCAGTACTTATTTGTTATTATTAATACAACCAAAAAAGCGAAAAGAGAGCATATAAGTAGAGGCCTCATAATGTTTCAATGTATAACACAATGGTACCTGTGACTAGGATCAAGCATTTTGTTCAGTCTGCAGGGTGAGATTACAAAGCAGGACAAGCTCATGGCATTGTCCGATGGAACACATTGACCATGACACTAGCACCATCAACATTGACCATGACACTAGCACCATCAACATTGCCCACCATCAACACCACTGCCCGTGGCCATTGCCATGTCACCCACTCCCGCTAACAAGGAACGTGCACCCAGGCCTCGAATGATGACAGCACCCATGCAACCCATGGGCAGTGGGGACCAGGCAACGTTATGTGTCACACCCCCCCCCAAATGATGTAGCCAGGACCATGGACACGATAGTGCCCATGACATGCACCATGTCATGGGCGCTGGGTATCAGAAACGTGTCAAAAAGTGAGTGTACCCCACCACCTCATCACCCCATCCCCCCCTTTGCTCACCCTTTGTTTGCAGATACTCTGCATACCCAGGACAACCAACATGAGGTGACAGCACCCATGCCACGTACACGTGGAATTGGAAACAGTATGGTGAGTGCCATCACTGTCAGCCCCTCTCCCTTTGCTAACATTTTGTTTGCAGGCACCATGGCGTTAGGAAAGCAAATGAGAGGTGGCAGCGCCCATGCCAGATACAGGGAAACAGCATGGTGAGTACCCCACACTGCCATCACCTTGGTCACCCCTCATATCATATGCCTGTGTACACCATATGTAGATTGTAAACATAGTTACATTTGTATTTCCTTTGTATGCCCGTGTACGCCATCTGTAGTTTGTAAATGTAGTTACACTTGTATTTAGAGATAAGAAAGTTGTGTAGGTTTATGTTGATATGTGTTGCATGGGGATGACCATGAAAGTGCGAAACACAAGGATCAAGCACATTGGGGAAAACCCTAACACCTAACACACACACACACACACACACACACACACACACTATCTTGGTGCAAGAGTTCGAGGGCCTTTGGTATTAAGAAATACCACTTTTGTCTTCTTAGGTTAAGTTCTCAAGAGTTTTCGTCTCAAAACAGGGATTTATTATTGGGTGTAGTATTAGAATAGTTCAATAGAAGAAAGTATGTCTTTCGGGGAACCTGGTTGCTCAAATGCAAAGTTCTTGAACACAGTTTTCTTCGACAAAACACACAAGGACAACAATGTGACACACGAGGATGACGACATGACACAATGTAACAACACATCAACAATGTGTGCCAACAACCACATGCAAACAGTGACAAGGGCCCAGCCCTCCCCCTAGACAGGGATGGGGAATAGCTGCAAATGGCCACGTATTGAAGGTGTAAGAATTTTAATTTATTTGTGGTCAATTTGGAGGTCTTTACCATCCCCCACGTAATCCATGTGGATTCCAGTGGCCCAGTGGCTAGGCCAAGTTGGCTTGCACAATGCCCAGTCCACTGGACTCTCACTGGACTACAAGCCACTTTCCTGAGTCCAGTCCCAGTCCAGTGGACTATGAGTCCAGTCATAGTCCACTGGATTCCACTGGAGTCCAGTGGATTCAAGTGATTCCAGTGCATTATTGCTTATTACTTATTAATTATGAATACTACAAAAAAGCGAAAATAGACTGTGCAATGAACAAGCCCGGCAAATGACAAGGGCCCACTGATGACGTGTCAATGACACGCCAGGATGACAACACAACATGCCAGGATGACAACTGACACGCCAAGACGACATCGCAACATGCCAGGATGACGACACGACACGATGACGTGACCACACAACCACCCACCCTGACCACATGCGAAACACCATGAGCGCCGACGAAAAACGATGCTCACCCACGGAAAACAACGAGTGCCCACCCCTGCCACACCCGAAACACGACAGGCGCCCACAAAAAACCACCAGCGCCGACGGCTCGCCAACGTGGAATGCCAATGAGGGCCCAGCTCCACCACCTCTCCCCTCCACTCTCTCCCCCCTCCACTCCCTCCTCCAATAATGAATATACTTCAATTGTCTTTTTTCTTTTGAAATCTAAGTTCAGTCCAGTCCAGTTGTGTGCTGGGAGTCCAGTGGAGTCCAGATTTGTGAATATTGCCAGTATGTAGTGAAGTCCTGTGGAATCCAGTGGAGTCCATGTGGATTATGTGGGGGATGGTAAAGTATTGTCAATTTGGCAGACTTTTTTTTCTAACCTGAGGAAGAATCTGCCCCTTTAGACTATGGAGAACTTGATTTAGTATGTACTACATTCATTTTCCCATCTAGTAAGTCTCTCCCTTATGTAGTCAATGGGTACTTGTTTGAGATGGGTGAACTGTCATTCTCAAAAGTGAGCCTGATCATTCAAGTTCTTGTTTTTGTTACAATGGAACTAACTTATGATAGACTGACTCCTTTGGTAAACCCCTTTCACCATTAGCAACCAAAACAGTTGGTTACCTCCTCAAAGAAAAAAAAATTGTTCTGCTATATATTGTATGTCTGAATTTCATCATACCCCACTCTTCTCTTCTTAATCCATTTTGCAGCCTGTCTTCTCCATCATCCGGAGCTCTGTAAGTACCATATCATGTCAGCTCAGTCAATAATTTCAACTGACCTGATGTGATATTAGCATGGGCATGTGGGATTCATCCTCCTTGCAGGCAGCCCAGAGACACATGTCAGAGACACCGACTGTGTCTGGGTACAGATCCCGTCACCTGACCAGTCTGATATACTATCAGAAGCACCAAATGGGAATGTGATTGGAGCTGTGAGTTAAGTTAGTTCACCAGTTCAACCATGACCTTCATGAAACAATTCATTTGACGAGTCTGCTTGTATATTACAAAGCCTCATTCTCAAGGGAAAGCCTCTGTTGGTGCTGGACAAGACCTTGAGTGTTATTCAGGCTGAGGTTTTTGCTGCCTGGACCACCTTTTTAAATAAGTGCAAAACAAGGAATCAAGAAGTAGATTTGAGTGGGTATTCCACACAATATTTCTTTTTTCTCATTTGTTGTGCTTCTTCATTAGTGGTCCATTGGAGTGATTGCCACCATGGTCACCAACTCACTCACAGTGCCATTTGAAGCTCAATATTGAAAGATTTTATGGAATCAATCAAGAAAGATCTCCTCAATAACTTCCCAGACCCTAAGCTCAATTCCCTCGTTGAATTATTCAAGGGCTTGCTGGTTGACACCCCAGGGCTTGTCGAAGACTCTCAAGTGGCTTGGAAGACACTTCCAGGTGAACCTGGGGTGAGTTATCTCTGAACTGCAATACTTCTGTGACTCACTCATCTGCACAGGGGTCGTTTCAGCATGCCTTTTTCCTCCAACTCATTCGCCAAGTTCCAATACTTATCACTCCCCCACATATTCCTACTGGATTCCAACAAAATTTCCAAAAAGGCATTTTCACATTTCCCTTCCCACTGGACTCCTACAGCACTCCTACTGAACTCCAATTGATCACATGATGTATTTTTAGAGCTGTCAAAACCTCATTTTTTCATTTTTTCTTACATGAAGCAGGGCATGAGATCCAGACCTCATATTCATCTCAAAGATGTATACAGAATATTTGTATATTATCATATTTAAATGGTAACTTGTCCCCAGAACTTGGTGATATTGAAGGATGACGTGGAGGTGGAATCTTATGAATTGAAGCCAAATGTGGAGAAGGCGCCATACCTGAAGCTGAAGGTGGGGGTGGTTGAGAGAGCACAGTATGGGCTGAAGTTTTTGGGTGGGTGGCATTGTCACCGGGCGATGGAGATCCTGCAGCAAAGTCAAAGGAAGTGGTGATGGGACTCCAAGACAAATTGACGGAAGGGCGGGGGGCATTGGAGGAGATGAAAGTTGGTGGGAACAGGTATGATAAGTTGCTGAGGAAGATTGAGAAGATGGAAGAGATGTTGAGGGTGGAGAAGGAGGTGGAGAAGAACCTGTCAGTGTGGGAAGTCGTTAGTGTTTAAAGGTTCAGTCCATAGGACCGCAAAAAACCAGTGGACCGAACTGAACTGGACCATGGTCCAGTCTTTTTTTCGGTTGCAGTTGCCCCAATTTGGGGTTGGTCCGGCCAGTTGCCTCATTTCGAAAATCTTTTAAAACCATTCAAAGACTGGTTTTAATCGGTTGCAACCAGTTAAATGGTCATGTGCATTACATACCCTTGTATCAAAAATGATTAAAATTTGAGAAAGATATAACCAAATCCATATTTTACCTGAGTCTCTAGAAGATGTAATTCGGTTTCAGTCATAGCTATGTCAAATCTTCATTAAATCTCTTAACAATTGGTAGAATGATGGGTATTTACATGCTTTACTATTTTATATAACCTGTTTATTTTTCAGAGTAATAATAGTTAAGATACAAATGGTTTATATTGGTATAATAAATTATATGCAAAAAAACCGGTCTGGATCGGTCTGAAATGGTTCCATAGATTGCAAAAGACCAGTCCAAGGTGGCTCGGTTCGGTTCCCTCAATATCTGGGTCGGTCCTAGACTGGTTGCAGTCCACAGTTGCGCATTTTGGGGGCAAAAAACCGGACTGAACTGAACTTGCGAACACTAGGAGTCATACTGCATAATGAAAGTGAGTGTGATTTGTTAATAGTGCTTGGAAGTCCAGTCCCAAGACTGGAAAAAGACCAAGACTGAACTGAACCCGGACTGCCCAAGACAGGAAATTTTCAGGACTGTCAAAGACCACAACCGTGGTCCAGTCTTCAGTCTCTCACAATTTCGGAAATTTCGAGACCAACGAAAGACTGGTCTAACCGGTCTCAACCGGAAGTCGTAACCAAACACAACCAGTCTCCTCCTCCCACCACCATCCAGCACCATTGTCACCAGCCTTCGTGACTGCCGCCTGTTGTCAACCGCCCACACCCACCTTGGCAGACACACACACACACCAACCACGATGGCAACAACATACCTACCAGCTAAAGGAGCACCTGCAGTGTCGACGACACATGGAGGAGATGACATGGCACCTCAATAGTCCACTTCCGATGAGCCATGTCATCCAGACGGCAATGTGCAGGTAAGTACATCACATTGTAAGCCCCACCAGCCCCCCTCTTTCTTATTTCTAATAGCCACAACACCCCGCCATGCGACTACGACACACATGACGTGGCAGCCACCACACAACACCATGATCACCAGACGACCCAACACCACGACCACCAAAACCACAACATGGCCACAACACAACAACAACATGACAGAGGATGAGGCAGATGACGACGACAGATGTGGCAACCACACGGCGAACAGTGACATCTGTCACCATTCGTCATCCTCCTTCATTCAGTGAGCAACGACACCTCTCCCCAATCCTCTTCCTAATACCTGTTCCAGGTACCATGTCGCCAACAGCGACGTGGCCACCAAACAAATGTGAACGACATCATTCGTCGTGGTCAGTGGCCATTGTAACACCCACCAACCACTGCCACGTCACCCCTTTGCCCTCCTACACCTTTGGCAATGATGACGCGCCATGGCGGTGACGACAGATGGCCACAATGATGACGGATGACCACGATGATGATGGATGACCGACAATGAAACAAAGACCATGACAACCAATGCCAACAGACATTACCTTTAATTGGGTTTTTAGTTCATCAAAAATGGTTAAGAACTGAGAAAGATATAACTAAATCCATTTTGGCACAAATACTTGTTTGTGCAACTTGTACCAGAATGACTTTAATTCTAACTCACTCATACTTTCATCATTTTGCTTGACTCAATTTTTGGATATTGACATTTTAAGTATGAAAATATACTCACCATCTATCAATATATGGGTCTTTAGGAGATGTAATTCGGTTTCAGTCATAGCTATGTCAAACCTTCATTAAATTTCTTAAGAATTGGTGGAATGATGGGTATTTATATGTTATATTATGATATGTACACTAACTAGGCAAAAGGATTGTCTGGTCATTTTCTGGACAAAGTTGGTGCTATAACACAAGAACCAAACATTTTTAGTACTAAGCTCTGGTGTATCAAAGATAGCTAAGGGGGTATAGGTTGTATATACCAAGTTTGGGGATGAACAAATGAAAACTCAGGATAAGGCACAGGATTGACTGTGACAAGTGCCAAAAATGGGATGTAATAAAGTGGGAAATTCTGAATGACTGCAACCTAACAAAAGCAATTCACAACTTGAGGAAGAGATATTTTGAACACTGAATCTCCCTGCTATTGTTATGAGCTTCATAAAGTCTCTGGGCTATAAAATGTTATATCCTTCTCTAAAAGGTAAATTTGAACTTGTTCTCCATTTTATGTATTTTTCACTCAATATATTTGTTGGAATGAGGTAAAATGACTCCCTATTAATGTTTTTAGTGTGTATAATACAAAAGGTAGGTAGAAGTGTTAAAATGAACATTGCATGATGTCTGTAGAAGCTAATTTCCAGAGTTTTTCTGGAAGTAAACAGGTATCTACAACATTGGTCCATCTTTTCTGCAAGAAGAAAAAATGCTACCATCCTTTTGAATGGATCCATGGAGACTCAGGATGTCTTTTAAATGATGCCCGAAGTATAGCATGATAGCAAATAAATTTACACTGGGTATAACTTGAAAAGTCCTCAATAAAAGTACATTTTCCATAGAGCAAGAAAGGTGTGGGGTCTCAGATCATTGTATAAATAGGACCTCTGTTCATTTCTTTGGGATAGTGTTACTAGGTATGAGAAGTGCTTTGTGAAATATTTTCAGCCCCAATTCACCAAGAAAATGTCAAGGATTGGTCCAGGACGATTGCTCTATGCAAAATGTAATTTTCTCGGGGACTATTCAAGTTATACCCAGTGTAAATTTATTTTCTATCATATTATATTTCAGGTGTTGTTTAAAGGACATCCTGAGTCTCCATGAATCAACTCAAAAGGATGGTACCATTTTTTCTTCTTGCAGAAAAGAAGGACCAATGTTGTGGATACTTGTTTACTTTTCGGAAAAACTCTGGAAATTAACTTCTACAGACATCATGCAATGGTCATTTTAACATTTATACCTACCTTTTGTATTATACACACTACAAACATTAATAGGGAGTTATTTTACCTCATTCCAACAAATATATTGAGTGAAAAATACATAAAGTGGAGAACAAGTTCAAATTTACCTTTTAGGGGAGGATATAACATTTTATAGCCCAAAGTCTTTATGAAGCTCATAACAATAGCAGGGAGATCCAGTGTTCAAAATATCTCTTTCTCAAGTTGTGAATTGCTTTCATTAGGTTGCAGTCATTCAGAATTTCCCACTTTATTACATCCCATTTTTGGCACTTGTCACAGTCAATCCCCTGCCTTATCCTGAGTTTTCATTTGTTCATCCCCAAACTTGGTATGTACAATCTACACCCCCTTAGCTATCTTTGATACACCAGAGCTTAGTAGTAAAAATGTTTGGTTCTTGTGTTATAGCACCAACTTTGTCCAGAAAATGACCAGACAACCTTTTTGCCTAGTTAGTGTAACCAGTTTATTTTTTAGAGTAATAATAATTGAGATACAAATGGTTTATATTGGTATGACAAATTTTATGCAAAAAGACCGGTCTGAATCAGTTTGAACGCGGTCCATGGACTGCAAAAGACCGGTCCTAGGTGGTCCGGTTCAGTTCCCTCAATATCTGGGTCGGTTGCGTATAAAAATGTTTTTGGCCATATCTCAACCAATTCTTGACAGTTTTTGATGATTGAGGGACCGAAATTTAAGTAAAGATGTGTGCGAGTAAAGTCCAACACGTAATTGGATGAAAGACCAGTTGCAACTGGTCTAAACTGGTCTCTTTTGGTTTTTAATATTTACAAAAACATGGCAACTGGCAACTGGACTGGCCACAAATGTGGGCAACTGCAACTGGAAAAAGACCGGACTGTGGTTCAGTCCAGTTTGGTCCTATGTATATTTTCAGTCCTGTAGACTGGACCTGCAAACACTATCGATGTGGGACCAGTATGTGGAAACACCACTTCAGTCACCCATTTTAGGGTACCCATGAGGTATATGAATTCTTTGATTTAGAGGACCTCCATGGTACCCATTCCAAGAGTGGTATAAGAGCACATACCAATACCATGGTACCATGGAATGGAAAACCCATACCATATTCCAATCATACCAATACCATGTTGCCATACCATACCATGTCACCTCATACCATACCATCATACCATACCATACCATACCATCATACCAAAGCTGACACAGGGTGTCTGGGGTCCTTTTTTCAAAATATATAAATTATTTCTGCAGGCTGCAATACTGGTCCATTGGTTGCCATTTTCTGTGGAAAGGTTCTTCAGGTTTTTCCCAAGATATTAAGATACAAATGGAGGCTATATAGTCAAATCCATCCTTTGAAAATCAGTTCAAATGAGCTTTATCCCAGCTTTTTCCATGCATCAAAAGCCATTTATTGATAAATATCTTTCCACACCTTGAAGATCAATTCAATAAGTTTACTCATGATATTGTGCATTGTCTATCATCAATGGTCCAAAATAGTACTGACAATCATTGATAGACGACCGCAATTATCCCGACATTGTTGTTCTGACTGCTGGGAGTGGTACATGGACTGAAGAGCCAAAGAATGGAGTGAGCTTGGACAGAGCTTGGATCCCAAATTTACAATCAGCGCTTGATCAAGGTCCGTCAGAGCTTGAATCTGTTTGATCTCACAGTTTCTTAGCGACTCTCCTTCAATCTAACATCCCACCCTTACCAAGAAGCTTGCCTAGGATCGTATCCCAACTTGCTGATCAAATGTTGGAACCAGCTCAGAACAGGTTTGTGCGCCACCTGTCTGTCTGTGCATTTCACTGACAAGAAACCTGTCTTGTCCAGTCGAACTCTTTCCGAGCTTCGCCAAGTTGGACAACATGTGACGGGCACCTACACATCTGCTGAAATTTGTTTCTTTTGTTTGCCTGGTAAATGTCGCTTCCATGGCATGTTCGTGATTGATAAGGGCATCGAGTGTCCTGCTGCCCCGACCTCGCTTGCAAATGTAGTTGATGCAGTTATAGCGAGGGACCCTCTCTCTGTTGGACTTAGGGGGGCATGGTGATGTCGATGGATATGGTTCTTGGTGAGTTTCGGATGTTTCGCTATCCCTGCTGTCATTAGCGCCTCAACATCTAACTTCTCCACATAGATATGCCATACGGGATCAATGTGACGATGGATTTCGACGTCAATTGTCGTACTGGCTCACTATCATTGAAACTATGGATCAAGTTTCTTCCTCTGCCATCGAATTGGACAGAACCTACAACACATCTTCATCGGATGTGTGATTGGTGGTGTTGGCATTGGTGCGCTGAGGTTGCTCGTCAGTTGCTATCTTGTCCCTCTGACACTGATGTAACCTCGGAATGTAGCATGCTCACCCACTCTACATCGCTGTAATCTGCCTGACGTCTGTGGTTCACTTATGGTGCTTGAGCAGCTCCTTTGGGTGGTGTTGGGTTTCTGGATTGGGTCTTCAACACGGAATGGTAAGATTTGCCTTTTTTTTTGGCTTTCTATGGGTTCAGCAGCACGTCCACTGTAGGTTTCATTGTCTATGTCACTTTCTTGTTGCAACCCAGCTGTGTGCTCCATTCTTTCCATCCTACACAGAGCCCTCCTAATCATCTTCCTTCTCTACCCTCTTGTCCTTCCGCCTCTGAGCCTTCTTGCTGAATCTTTATCCCCGTCTTCCTAGTCCCCAACCCCATGTCATGGTGTGTTCCCCTCATCCCAGGCTAATCCTTGCAATCAGCACTTTATTTCTCCCTCCCTCTGAATGGCTGGTGGTTCTTCACAGCTGTCATGAAGATGCCAAACACAGCTCCACAATGCTCAGAGGGCGGAATGAAGAGGTTGCACACATATGTGTTGGTTGATCCAAGGCTTGACAACTTGATATGTATTAACCATGTAATATTACAATGATTCTGTACTTTTCCATGTATACCAAAGCATAGCCAGGAGCTGGAGTAAATCCGTGTGGATTTCTCTTTTCTCCTCAAGATTTATGTGTCAGAAGACACTCATCAGATAGTCAAGAACAGGTACCTGTGATGGAGAGACAAAGTCAGTGGCTATTTTCACACAGTTGCTAGTATTGGAGACCTGCACAAGTGGCATGAGCTTGACAAGGGTTCAAACGAAGAGCATTACCTGATGAGGACAACCAGGGGGTATAATAACCGCTTCCCCTGTTCGTTGTTCAATGATCCATGGTGGTGGTTCATTGAATTTATCAGCCAGAACCTGGATCATCTCCTCATTGATAAATGCTGTTTCTGCGACGATGGGGGTGGCCAGGCACCAGGCTTCTTATGTTGCTTTGGGTTCAATTACCTCACCCAAGGCTGGAATGCTGGAGCATGGCCAAATGTGCCACAGGGCGCCAACGTCAGTGGAATAGGTGTAGAGCATAACATTGACAGCTCCCAATTTGTCAAGATGAAAGTGTGTCATTCCATTTTGGCAGTTGTCTGCTTGGGAGATGTAGAGCTTCAGTCCTATTTTAAAGGCACAATTGTGGAAGCTGCAGCCAAACCGAACCACCTAGGACAGGTCTTTTTCGGTCTATGGAGCCGGTTCAGACCGATCCAGACCGGTTTTTTTGCGTATAACTTATTATACCAATATAAACCATTTGTATCTCGACTATTATTACTCTGAAAAATAAACGGCGTATATAGAATAGTAAAGCATGTAAATACCCGTCATTCTACCAATTTTGAAGAGATTTAATGAAGATTTGACATAGCTATGACTGAAACCGAATTACATCTTGTAGAGACTCAGGTAAAATATGGATTTGGTTATATCTTTCTCAATTCTTAACCGTTTTTGATGAAACAAAAACGCAATAAATGGTAATAAACGTGGTTACAAGGGTCTGTAGCTCACGTGACCGTTTAACCGGTTGCAACCGATCAAAACCGGTCTTTGAACAGTTTTAATATATTTTCGAAATGAGGCAACCGGCAACTGGACCAACCCCAAATCGGGGCAACTGCAACCGAAAAAAAGACCGGACCATGGACCGGTTCAGTTCGGTCCACCGGTTTTTTGCGGTCCTATGGACTGAACCTTTAAACACTAGCGATACAGGCTGGGATGCAAGACGTCGAGAGTCCCCTCAGGGGGATAGTCCTGGTCATGTCAGATTAACACAATGGGAAGCAACGACCGACTTACACAAACTTGTATTGGCCAATCCATAGTGCGTTCCCAGTCTTTAAAGTAATTTTTGAGGGTACCCTCCTTATTATCAGTCCATGCCTCCCCATTGTAATGGGAAACCGTACATGGATGGTTAGAGTCTGGGTTCAACTCTAAAAGTTCTTGAGGGGTGGCAGATTCCGACATGGCTACCAAGACAAAGGGTTCACAGTTGGCCCATAGCTCTGCGAATCTCTCCATGGTGAGTTGTCCGCATTGAAATCGGTGAACCATTCAGTTTGTATTTTTGGGAACAGAAGGAGTGTTGTCGAGGCAGAGAAGATTCATTTGATGAAGAGCTTTTTTTCAGTACAAATGAGATGGGAAGGAAGGTGCCTTGCGAATGACTTGTTCAACACAAGTGGTCATCTTGTCGTGATGGAAGTAAAGCGAAGTAACAGAGATTGCAAAGATCTTGACCACAACATCGACAGAACCACATTCCAAAGAACAGTCCCATATGACACCCATCTGTTTAGAGTGATGATGAATAAAGATCTAGACGAGCGACATAAAAAATGTATTGACCACATGTGCAGCTGACAGCATCCAGGATGGGATGGACGTGGATATCGGGATGACTGAAATGTTCAAGCTTGGCTTCCAGCAGGGGTATCAGTGCCTGAGAACAAGACCCCTGAGGCATGTTTCAAGAAAGAATGTGGAATGAAGTGACAAATCTTACCCTCAACATCACAACATGTTGGGCGGCATGAGTGGGTGCCCAAGGGTGGTACACATACCGATTTGCTTCTTCCACTGTCGCAACAAATCCAATGTGGGCTGGGTCATCCAGATGCTGTACTTTACACTCCCCGGGATGTTCCATATGGACTCCATGGAAGGGGGGATGGAATCCACAAATATCAGATGGATTCCATGGAATGGGGGATGGAATCCATACTTTCCCAGATGGAATCCATGCTTTTGGTGGGTGGATTCCATATGTCCTATACCATTTTTTAGAGTGGATTCCATATGGACTCCAAATGGAATCCACATGGAATGACTTTATGGAATAACACAAGTCCACATCATGGAATTATAAAATTTGAAGTGTATTGAATAGACTACATAAATTTATTCTTACTACTTTCAATAGTTAAGGGAGGGGGAGGGAGGTGTAAATGATGGAGGGGGGAGGGTGTAGTAGAGAGTGGGAATGATGGAGGGGAGAGGGAGTGATGAAGGGAGGGGTGGGATGGAGGGGGAGCAATGGGAGGGGGAGTGATGAAGGGGGGGGAGAAATGGGAGGGGGAGCAACCAGAGGGAGGGGAGCAACAGAGGGAGGTGGAGAAATAGAGGGAGGGGTGGTGTGGGATGATGGAGGGGTGGTGGTGTGGAATGATGGAGGGAGGGAGCTCACCTGAGCTTGCATGGTTTGGGGCCGTGGTGATGGATAATGGATGGTGGTGGTGGGGAAGGAAGAAACGACATGGCAACATTTCTTCCACAGCTGTCACATGTATGACGCCATGTGCCTTAGGACGGTATATACTGACCTTTAGCCTAACATATAGTAAAGCCTGTATGGCTCAGTTGACTTTAGCACTGCTACTATTGACAATGTTGAGGGTTCAATTCTCTTCAGTGCAATTATTTATTTTACTTAAATATAGTAAGGACACTACAAATACTATATGTATTCTAATGGTATACTGGTTTTCCATGAAATCCATATGGACTGTTCCATGGAATCCCCATGGAATAGTACATGGATTTGCAATTGAAATTCATTGGAAATTCCATGGAATCCACATGGACCAGTCCATGGAAACCATATGGAATGCATCATTCCATGGAAATTCCATATGGATTCCATAGTGGGTCTGGAATGAAAAAATGGCTGGGTTGCCTGCCAAAAAATTGTCCATATGGATTCCATGGAATGGTGTTGGAATCCACCCATTCCATATGGAACATACCGGGGAGTGTAAAGACCTTGCCAGATGGACCTATAAACTTGCATCCTTCCTCCAAAGATGGAGAATGAGCTTTTCCGAGGCAGGAGATGCACTGTGGCGCAGCATAGTGGTGGCAAGTTTTGGTCTGTAAAGATTTGGAGGTGTCCCTGGTGTGTTTTTGACAACCTGAGACAAGAGGCAATCCTGGACGCTTCCTGGATACCAGTTGAAGGTCGTCTTGTTTGTGGGGAAAAAAATACTATGAGGACGTGCACTGCTGCCAAAAAAAAAAAAAAAAAAAAAAAAAAAGAAGACTCGCCATCAACAGGAATATGTTGATCCTGAGATGCCATAGGCTGTGGTTCGCCATTAGGCATCACGAACTCTAATTCATGACAAGGTTCATGGGTGGATAGCGAGCACTGCCAGAGTTGCCACTGGGTACGCCTCTGACCATCATGATCGAAAACATCCTGTGGCATAATGGCAACAGCAATGTCAAAGAGTGGTTAATCTATATTAGTGGTGAGTGTCGAAAAGATCTATTGAGGTCCAACGTACATCATACACATAAATGTGTTCTAATGATAAAGGTGAAACAGGTATAAAATCGAGAATATATATAATAATAAAGGGCTACCACAAGGGACGTGAATTGCTACATGGTCGGATTGGGTTGCCAAAGTAAGATCAATGACTTGCATGGAATCTTTTTTTAAAAAATAAAGAGGCAGAGTGAATTGAACTAATGGAAGACTTGCCATGATGTGCGATGGCCAAAAATTTTCCTTGAGAAAAGATTTTGAGAGTGACAGGCGTGCATTTCGGAACCCAACGAATGGGTACTATACCCACTGGAACAAGGGAGTCCAAGCGATAAAAGCGAATGCCTAGCTTCCTGTCACACATGGTGATGAGATTTGATCTGCAACAGACAGAAAAACTGGTTCTGAAACAAGATGAACCGGTGAATAAGACAAGGGGGGGGGAAAGTGTACAGGTTGATGTCCATGTCAACTTTGTGGACAACTTGACCACGTGCCCAGTCGAATTTAATCCTGCAGATGACTACATTTGAGTCATTTGCCGTCAGGATGGTATTTAGAAATTCCACTTTTGTCTTCTTAGGTTTAAGTTCTCAAGAGTTTTCATTTTAAAATGGGGTTTTATTATTGGGTGTGGTATTAGAAGAGTTCAATAGAACAAAGTATGTCTTTCAGGGATCCTGGTTGCTCAAATGCAAAGTTCTTGAACACAGTTTTCTTTAATTGACACGAAACACAAATTTATCAGACTTTTATAACTCCCTTGAGTGTTTATTATGATGTCACTATGCTCCAAAACACAGGGCACAGGTACACTGTCTCATCTAAATGATACTGTGCTTAAAACCTCTTATTCAAGTCTCCAAGTAAGTTGACTCCCTAGCACGCTGGCTTCATTCACACTGTACTTTCCAACCACAAAGAAATCTCCTTTAATTGATTACAACTGTCCACCTCCAGTCAATGGGGGAGGATTGCCTGCCTTTTGACCTGCTAGTGCACTCCTTATATACTCCAAGAATCTCTATCTACATTTTACATGTGTTTTTATACAGGTTACTATGATCCAAATTACAAATATGAAATTTAAAGAACATGTGGTATATTTTGTAGTCTCTGTGTTTGATGCATACACGGAGTTAGCCGATGTAGCTATTCTTAGCTTGGCATGATCCTGCATGTTTCTTTCTATGGCCCAGTTTACCGGTTTGACAGATGACATCATATACCATTTGGTGTTGTTGTAGCACTACACAACCATTCTTCAGCACAGGCCGAAACATTCAAGTTCTTGCAGAACATCTCCCTTTCTCGTACAATGACCTATGGAGCGAGGGTCCCTGTACCCGATTGGCACTTGAATGTCAATTGGGTGTCTGGTTCGCCTAATGTGACAACAGTTGAGAGAAATGATGAGGGGGATGATCATATGATGGCTGTTGTGGTTGCTGTTGACCTGCACTTCACCAAGGCCAAGCACAACAAACTCAATAACAACCTGCTGAGATAGACAAAGGGATTGGAGAGCCCTTCCTCAATGACAAGTTGCCCAGTCATGACCAAATTGCTGCTGCTATTCAATGCTCCATAATCACTCTCAAGTCCTCTCCTGTCTTCCTTAGTTCTGCAATCAAGAACACAAGCATTCAGCCCATGCTTGACAGTGTGTATGCCTACCATCCCAATCTCACTGGATCCAAAGGATGTTGAGCAGGAAAGATGCAGAGAGGGCAATAGGAGGCATAACAGTGCATGCTGGGATGGCAGAAATGTTGCTTTTGGATAAGCAGAAGAGGAGGAAGATGCAAACAATTGAGCTGAAGATGAAGGTTGTGGACAACAGAGGGGAGGACGAAGAGAATGCAGATGTGCACAAGGACAAAGAGGCAGAGGTGGTTGATGATAAATGCACAACTGAACAGGACTGATTGATAGTTCAATTGATATATATTTGAGTCAAGATTTTAGATAGTATATACAATTTAAAGAGAATTCGAAGGAAAATAAGGGCAAGAAAAATGGCTACCAAGGGGTCCATTACAAATGGTAGAGCCATCAAGAAATATGGATCCAGGGTATTATCAAATGAACAGGTGAGCAGGCGAGTCTTAAAAAGATTTTGCTCAAGGATGCCTGGTGGTAACCACTTATGCGTGGCAGAAAAAAGTGTGCAGTTAGGTTGGGAACTGTTTCCCATGCTCTTTGGGCCACTGGAGTTAGTGGCTAGCTTAGTGTTGTCATTGTTTATGATGATGTTCGCATATTTCCCAATTTGGAAAGTCATTACATAATATCAGTTTGGTTTGTACTGTCCGCTTTTTCACTACAAAAATTACTAGTGTGCGCTTTTTCATTACTAAAGTTTGTAGTGTCCGCTTTTTAGACTACAAATGTTGATTATATGATGGTGTTGTTGGCCATACTATATGTGTATGCTATGTAGGTAGGTAGGACTGTCTGATTGGCTCTACTGGGCAAAATATATTTAATCTATTATTGAAAGCATTCATATTAATGGCTTTTTAGGAATGAATGATTAAGAGCTGTTTTGGCTAGAGTCAATTGCTCTGAAACATTGAGATATATCCCCATGTACCGGGATAGATACAGAGAGAACATCAGAAAAGCAGACCACAATCTTTAAAAATGCACACTACAAGCTTTGTAATGAAGAAGGCAAAGACTACAAACTTTTGTAATGAAAAAAGCGCACACTATAAGCCTTTGTAATGAAAAAGGCAAAGACCACAGACATTTGTAGTCCAAAAAGCGGACACTACAAAGTTTTGTAATGAAAAAAGCGCATACTACAAACATTAGTAATGAAAAAAGCGCACACTAGTAACTTTTGTAGTGAAAAAGCAGACAGTACAAACCAAACTGATATTATGTAATAACTTTCCCAATTGGGAAATATGCGAACATCGTCATAAACAATGACAACACTAAGTTAGCCACTAACTCCAGTGGCCCAAAGAGTGTGGGAAACAGTTCCCAACCTAAATGTGGAGTGTGCCTGACATTAGGTGTGGCAGAAAAAGGTGTAACACTTTTCCCAATTAGGAAATGGCCCAATTAGGAAATAGTGCACACATCAAAGTGGACAATACAAAATTTTAGCCTCACTTCAGTCAAAGCTATTGTAAATATATGTAAACAAACTTCGAAATGAGGGTTTTCTGCCTTCATCTGCCTAAATAAAAATAAATTATGGTTCCTGATACCATGGTATGGTATGGGAGTGCAATACCATGGTATAATATTTTGATAATGAAGACTCTTAGGACAACAAGACTTGCATTTCCAATTGACAAGACTTTGGATTGGACAGATTCACTCAGCTTCAATAAATTGGACCAAATATTATGACAAAGAAGACTTTGGCTAAACACTCAGGACAACAATACTTGATTCCATCATATGTAGTTTTAAAAAAAATTGAGATTATATGATGCTGTTGTTGGCCATACTATATGTATATGCTATGTAAGTAGGCAGGACTCTCTGATTGGCCTTACTAGGAAAAATATATTTAACCTATTATTGAAAGCCTTCATATTAATGGCATTTCAGAAATGAAAAAACCCTCAATTAAACTGATTTTCAAAGGTTGGAGTTGGCTGTCTGGCCTGCACTTAAAATTGGACATCTTAGCAAAAACTTGAAAGCCTTTCCACTTTTCTTTTCTTCTCTATGACCACTTCATCACAATAGACGTGATATTGTTTGATTTGGATGAATATTGTTCTCATAGAAAAAGCCAAAAGGTACTTCTGGTTAGCCTGAATGAGCCCATCAAAGAATCAGTTGAAAATACTGAGCAGTTATGCCTGTAGAGTCTCTAGAAAATGACTTGTTTTGCCAAAAAATGACCAAAATAGCACAAAATGACCATTTTCTACAGGCTCTACAGGCATAACCACTCTGTATTTTCAACTGATTCTTTGATGGGCTCATTCAGGCCAACCAGAGGTCACTTTTGGGTTATCACTAAAATGACATAGTAATATCCTGGTAATATCCAACCGAGTTCGTCGCATTCATGAATCATTTCTTGACTGGCCAAACAATTAGCCCCATCATAGAGTGGGTCATTTCTAAAGATGATGGTCCATGTTGGGCCAAAGCAGCAAGACCAAGCACCAAGAACATTGCTATATTTTGAACAGGAAAGCAATAAAAACTCAACAACAAAGCAACACAGAAAGGGTAAAGGTAGAGTACATAAGATATGCATGTCAGCACTGGCGAGAGAGTGGAATCCAAATCAAGGCAGTGTATGTATATACACCATATGGTCAACATGTCTCTGGAGCCTTCTGGTGTAAGGAGGTTGGCACTTGGTGAAAGCTGGAGGTTGTAACAGGCAAGTCCAGTTTGAATATATCAAGCAGGTGGACATGGAGGTCAAGGAGATTCAGGAAGCTACAGTGTAGGGCTACAACTTTCATTTTTCACCATTTTTGATAATTTGTCATGTGACCATCATCCCAACATCCCATTACATAGACCCTGATAGATAAAAACATTCTTCTCTTGGTTTTCTTCACTTTTGGTCAAACCAGGTGATGTTTGATACTACAAATGGGATGGACCCTGAAGTGAACCCTGAAGGCAGTGCCTGATGTTCTGTGCACCATTCATATGAGCTCAATTCAAAAAGATTATGGGATTAGTATGATATAGATGATGACATTACTGTAAGTCCCTAGTCTTCAACAAACACTCCATTCTTATCATAACACAGCCTTTTACCTATCACTTTCCATGCGCCGACATCCATGAAATGCTGTCAGCTGATTTACTCCATCAACTGATCAAGGGTACATTTAAGGACCATCTGGTCCAATGGGTTGGGGATTACCTCTACCTCGAACATGGTGAAGCATGGGCCAACGAGATTCTGGATGATATTGACCGCCAGTTAGTCCTACTTAAATTCTTTGCATTGAGATTGCTCTAAAATGTGGAAAGTATTGCAGCGCCAATGTTTCTGGGACTTCACTGCTTTCCACATGGTTGCTGTTTCAAGCAGTGGACAGGGGATGACTTGAAGGCTCTCATGAAGGTGAAAAGTTTTTCATTAGCTGTCGCACCCAGTAATTAATCCAAGATTTAGGTTTACCTTCCAGCCATCTCAGGTTATGTACCCTCTCAGATGGTGTGCTCCAAACCGCCATCCAGAAGGAGGTCTTTACACTCCCTGCTATTTTCCATGTGGATTCCAACCTCATTCCATGGACTCCATATAGTCAAATTTTTGGCTGGGAAGCCAGCTATTTTTTTATTCCATATCCACTATGGAGTCCATTTGGATTGCATATGGAATGGACCATTCCATAGACATTCCATGTAGTGGTCCATGTGGATTCCATGGAATTTCTGAGGTCTTTACCTTCCCCAGTATAATCTATATGGAATCCATGTGGAATCCATGGAGTCCATGAAGAATTCCATATGGAATCCATGGAAGGAATTAATAACTCTTATACCATTAGAATACAAAAACCATACCCCGCCCACGAAAACATCCCACCACCCACCGAAAAACACGAGCGCCCACCAAAAAACACGAGCACCCACCAAAAAACACAAGCACCCACCAAAAAACACAAGTGCCCACCAAAAAACACGCGCCACCCACCAAAAAACATGCACCGCCCACACGACACACGACGGCACCATGCCGCCTACCAAAACCACCACGTCCACACCAATGCCACCCACGACGACGCCCCGAACGGCAACCAGCTCCCACGACGACGGCGTCGACAAGGCCCACGAATA